GTATTTTTTACTGCAGCAGTGACAAGTATTGAAGGTAAAACAGTTTTAATGGGAGTCAGTCAAAACAACGAGAGACCAGAGAGAGAGACGAGTCAGAGACCATTTTTCTATTTAAAAACAAACTACAACTGACAAAGAAATAGATTTTCCTTTATGCAGTTTAATCTAAATCCCCATGGAGCATAAGTGTAACAGGAATTAAGCCTTAAAACATGCTTGTAAACGAGATGGCTCTGCCATTGTAAACAGTGAAAATGTAGCTTAACAGTTTTATAATAACTTCACTTACAATGACACTATGCACCTTCAAAATAACTTAAATCACACAAACAAGGCCCATCGCAAATATATCAATCCTATTAAACACATGCATTATTTACATGAAATATCACATTTTTAAAAAACACTGATTACTCAAAATAGAAATGTTGTAACAGTCTTTTCCAAAAGCCTCCTCGGGTTTTCATGCTTGTTCTTTCAACTGTGCCTGAGTAACTGTGCTGTAGTACAACGCTCGGTCCAGCTGGTGGCGCTAATACTAACTTCAGTGACTCCCGCATTGTGCGAGCTTCCTGTTTACATTCTGATGCTGTAGCTAACAGCTACTGTAGCAGCTACTGTAGCTAACAGCTACTGTAGCTAGCAGCTACTGTAGCAGCTACTGTAGCTAACAGCTACTGTAGCAGCCACTGTAGCTAACAGCTACTGTAGCAGCTACTGTAGCAGCTACTGTAGCTAACAGCTACTGTAGAGCAGCTACTGTAGCTAACAGCTACTGTAGCAGCTACTGTAGCTAACAGCTACTGTAGCAGCTACTGTAGCTAACAGCTACTGTAGCAGCTACTGTAGCTAACAGCTACTGTAGCAGCTACTGTAGCTAACAGCTACTGTAGCAGCTACTGTAGCTAACAGCTACTGTAGCTAACAGCTACTGTAGCTAACAGCTACTGTAGCAGCCACTGTAGCTAACAGCTACTGTAGCAGCTACTGTAGCAACAGCTACTGTAGCAGCTACTGTAGCTAACAGCTACTGTAGCAGCTACTGTAGCTAACAGCTACTGTAGCAGCTACTGTAGCTAACAGCTACTGTAGCAGCTACTGTAGCTAACAGCTACTGTAGCAGCTACTGTAGCTAACAGCTACTGTAGCAGCCACTGTAGCTAACAGCTACTGTAGCAGCTACTGTAGCTAACAGCTACTGTAGCAGCTACTGTAGCTAACAGCTACTGTAGCAGCTACTGTAGCTAACAGCTACTGTAGCAGCTACTGTAGCTAACAGCTACTGTAGCAGCTACTGTAGCTAACAGCTACTGTAGCAGCACTGTAGCTAACAGCTACTGTAGCAGCCACTGTAGCTAACAGCTACTGTAGCAGCTACTGTAGCTAACAGCTACTGTAGCAGCTACTGTAGCTAACAGCTACTGTAGCAGCTACTGTAGCTAACAGCTACTGTAGCAGCTACTGTAGCTAACAGCTACTGTAGCAGCTACTGTAGCTAACAGCTACTGTAGCAGCCACTGTAGCTAGCAGCTACTGTAGCTAACAGCTACTGTAGCAGCTACTGTAGCTAACAGCTACTGTAGCAGCCACTGTAGCTAACAGCTACTGTAGCTAGCAGCTACTGTAGCTAGCAGCTACTGTAGCTAACAGACAGCGGGGAACACGTTGTTTGTATCAGAGCAATGAGAGCAATGTGTGAGACGTGTCTTTCCCCAAAGTGCACCGGTGTAACGCCGAGATACACTTCCTTGAAGAGATGCACTTCCCCAGCTGTTTATGATGTAATGCAAAACTGCGCATGCGCGTCTCACGGCAGCCGGAGCATACCAAGATGGCGGAACGTGAATTGCTTTAAAAGTCGAAATACGAACGAATTAAGACACGAATGTCACTTTTAATGCAATTTGAGGCGAGATGTTGATGGTTCCGTTTTGTCACATGAAAAATCAATCTAATTAAATATTTTGTTTGAACACACTATTGTTAATCATATTAAATACAGTACGATACATGTATTGAATGAAATTTATTATTTCCATTATCAACCCGACAGACCAGTTGTAAGCTGTAGAGTTGCCACAGGACACGTCATCAGCCTACGTCATCAGCCTACGTCATCAGCCTACGTCATCAGCCTACGTCATCAGCCTACGTCATCAGCCTACGTCATCAGCCTACGTCATCAGTCTACGTCATCAGCCTACGTCATCAGCCTACGTCATCAGCCTACGTCATCAGCCTACGTCATCAGTCTACGTCATCAGCCTACGTCATCAGCCTACGTCATCAGCCTACGTCATCAGCCTACGTCATCAGCCTACGTCATCAGCCTACGTCATCAGCCTACGTCATCAGCCTACGTCATCAGCCTACGTCAGCAGCCTACGTCATCAGCCTACGTCATCAGCCTACGTCAGCAGCCTACGTCAGCAGCCTACGTCATCAGCCTACGTCAGCAGCCTACGTCATCAGCCTACGTCATCAGCCTACGTCATCAGCCTACGTCATCAGCCTACGTCATCAGCCTACGTCATCAGCCTACGTCATCAGCCTACGTCAGCAGCCGCGGACTGCTATGAAAACATTAGCTTTGTGGTTTCACAGGCGCAGTTGACTGCTTAAACTAAACTTTGCACGAAACTTTGACTCTTAAAACCCACATGTGACAAAACGGAACCATCAACATCTCGCCTCAAATTGCATTAAAAGTGACATTCGTGTCTTAATTCGTTCGTATTTCAACTTTTAAAGCAATTCACGGTCCGCCATCTTGGTTTGTTTCGGTTGCCGTGAGACGCGCATGCGCAGGTTTGCATTACATCATAAACAGCTGAGGCAGTGCATCTCTTCAAGGAAGTGTATCTCGGCGTTACACCGGCTCAGTGGGACACGAGTGTGTGCGCGCCACGGACACGGGAGTGCGCTTTGGAATAACGAGCGTGAGAGAGCGTGAAAGATGTGGCGTACGAACATGGCGTACGAACATAGCGACCGGAGCCTGCGTGTGTGTGTGTGTGTGTGTTTTGGCGATTAAATAAAGTCTGATTCTTGAACGTTTGAAGTGTTATTGCAACAGCACCAACTGTGAGAGCGAGCATCAGGCCAGAGGGAGACTGTTAGCATTAGGTTAGCTTCAAAATGACTGCTCAACACCATAGACCCGCGGTTAGCGCGTTAGCGCTGTAGTTCTGCGCTGGAGAAAATAAAAATCGAATTTTTAAAAAAAGAAATCGCCCTAAACGTATAACTCGAATTAATGATTAAAATCGATTAATCGCCCAGCCCTACCTGCTGTGTCTGTAAGAGAGATCCCTGTGAGTCGCTATTGGACTCCTGAGGGTGGTTCTGTTTTCACTTCTCTGTCTCTCTCGGTCTCTCTCTGGTCTCTCTCTGGTCTCTCTGGTCTCTCTCTGGTCTCTCTCTGGTCTCTCTGGTCTCTCTCTGGTCTCTCTCGGGTCTCTCTCTGGTCTCTCTCGGGTCTCTCTCGGGTCTCGCTCTGGTCTCTCTCGGGTCTCTCTCTGGTCCCAGCAGGAGGCCAGTCCCTGTGCTCCTCAGAGTCCCAGCAGGAGGCCAGTCCCTGTGCTCCTCAGAGTCCCAGCAGGAGGCCAGTCCCTGTGCTCCTCAGAGTCCCAGCAGGAGGCCAGTCCCTGTGCTCCTCAGAGTCCCAGCAGGAGGCCAGTCCCTGTGCTCCTCAGAGTCCCAGCAGGAGGCCAGTCCCTGTGCTCCTCAGAGTCCCAGCAGGAGGCCAGTCCCTGTGCTCCCAGCAGTTGTGTTGTAGTAGTGTGGCTGTAATGGTCATTCCTGCAGCGGTGGTCGCCCCAGAGAAGCCCCTGCTCTCTGGTTTCACCCCCCCTCCCCTCCCCACCCTCACCCTCCTCTCCCCCTCCCTCACTCATGGCCTCGCTCACGTAGTCTGTGGGGGAATGTCTCAGCTCGTGAAGCGCCGTGCTCCTGCGTCACTGCAGGCGAGGCTCGGGTTGTGAAAGAGCGTCCTGAGGAGAGAGGACCTTTGACATGGGCTCTTTCTAGTCTCTCTCTGGTCTCTTTCTAGTCTCTCTCTGGTCTCTTTCTAGTCTCTTCATGATTTCTCACTGGTCTCTCTCGAGTCTCTCTCTGGTCTCTCTCTGGTCTCTCTCTCTGGTCTCTCTCTAGTCTCTCTTTGGTCTCTCTCTGGTCTCTCTCTGGTCTCTCTCTAGTCTCTCTCTAGTCTCTCTCTGGTCTCTCTCTGGTCTCTCTCTGGTCTCTCTCTAGTCTCTCTCTAGTCTCTCTCTGGTCTCTCTCTAGTCTCTCTCTGGTCTCTCTCTGGTCTCTCTCTAGTCTCTCTCTGGTCTCTCTCTGGTCTCTCTCTAGTCTCTCTCTGGTCTCTCTCTGGTCTCTCTCTGGTCTCTCTCTGGTCTCTCTCTGGTCTCTCTCTAGTCTCTCTCTGGTCTCTCTCTAGTCTCTCTCTAGTCTCTCTCTGGTCTCTCTCTAGTCTCTCTCTGGTCTCTCTCTGGTCTCTCTCTAGTCTCTCTCTGGTCTCTCTCTGGTCTCTCTCTGGTCTCTCTCTGGTCTCTCTCTGGTTCTAGCTGCACTGTGCTGTGACTTTATAAAAATGATATTCAAAAGTCCTCAGTTCTCGGTAAAATGTGAGTAAAGCTCTAATCACAGGAATGTTAATCTTTCTAAAGCCACTTTCTCACTGAAGAAAAACACAGGATTTAAGCCCAAAATCCTTCACAAAGAACTTTACAAACCAACAACAGATCAGAATATCAAAGACCCAGGACTGAGGCTGTAGATCCAGGACTGAGGCTGTAGACCCAGGACTGAGGCTGTAGACCCAGGACTGAGGCTGTAGATCCAGGACTGAGGCTGTAGACCCAAGACTGAGGCTGTAGACCCAGGACTGAGGCTGTAGACCCAGGACTGAGGCTGCATGTGCATAAATGTCCATACCCTGTGTTCCCAGATCCCGTAGCCGCCCTCCGCTCTCTATCGCCCCCTGTCTGTCTCCTCCTGCGATGCCAGACCAGAGCCTCAGCACCAAACCCAGCGCCATGAAGACCCCAGCTGCTGCCGACAAACCAAACCCGGATTCCCGCCACGTCACCGTCTCCGTTCCATTGGTCAACGAGGTCCAGCTCACCGCGGCGACCGGGGGGGCGGAGCTATCGTGCTACCGCTGCACCGTGCCGTTCGGCGTGGTGGTGCTGATCGCGGGGGTCGTGGTCACCGCCGTCGCCTACAGCTTCAACTCCCACGGATCCACCATCACCTACTTCGGTCTGGTCATGCTGTCGGCCGGCCTGGTGCTGCTGGCCTCTAGCGCCATCTGCTGGAGGGTACGGATGGAGCGGAAGAAGGAGAGGAGGCGCGAGAGCCAGACCACGCTGGTGACCAATCACAGGAGTGTGTTTTCCTGAGGCGTTGGGGAAGATTTGTACACGATCAAACTTCAAACAGTTCAGTTATCGCAGACTAACATGTTCTATAAACTGGGAGGGTCTTTATGCTTAAACCTGTCTCCACACGGACTAGAGGCCACCCGCGGTACTGCAGCCTAAATGCACATGGACTCTTGCAGATTTCCCTCAGACCTCACTGTCATTATTGTCTCTTTTATATTGTATTTTTTTTATAAATCCACAATTTAAAGCCACTAGTTCTGCTCTGATCAGCGGGCACTGTGATTGGTCCGAACGCTCAGAAGGTCTCTCTCTGGTCTCTCTCTGGTCTCTCTCTGGTCTCTCTCTGGTCTCTCTCTGGTCTCTCTCTGGTCTCTCTCTGGTCTCTCTCTGGTTTCTCTCTGGTCTCTCTCTGGTCTCTCTCTGGTCTCTCTCTGGTCTCTCTCTGGTCTCTCTCTGGTCTCTCTCTGGTCTCTCTGCACTGATTGTCAGAACTCTCACATGTCACCCTGGTCCAGCTGAAGTAGAACCTCTGCACCTCCTGCACAAGACCAGGAGAACCAGAGACACCAGAACACATCACTTCTGCAGGAGAGGAAAATTATCTGAATGAGAGAGACATCTTGAGAGACCAAGGTGGACATCTGGGAGAAACCAGGGGCAGACATCTTGGAAAGACCAAGGTGGACATCTTTGAGAGACCAGGGGCAGACATCTTGGAGAGACCAAGGCGGACATCTTGGAGAGACCAGGGCAGACATCTTGGAGAGACCAGGGGCAGACATCTTGGAGAGACCAAGGCGGACATCTTGGAGAGACCAGAGGCAGACATCTTGGAGAGACCAAGGCGGACATCTTGGAGAGACCAGGGCAGACATCTTGGAGAGACCAGGGCAGACATCTTGGAGAGACCAAGGTGGACATCTGGGGGAGACCAGGGGCAGACATCTTGGAGAGACCAGGGGCAGACATCTTGGGGAGACCAAGGTGGACATCTGGGAGAGACCAGGGGCAGACATCTTGGAGAGACCAAGCGCAGACATCTTGATTCACAGGAATGAACTAAATGGATGAATGTTCTGATGTCTCCCTGGTCTTTACAACCTCCTACTTCATCCAGAAAAACTCAGGGGTAAAACAGAAACCTTGGGGAGAACCACAGTGAAGCCGTGGACACAGACGATTCCAAAGACATGAAAGGACTGGAAGCAAAGCTGTTGAAAGTGCCTGCTCAGAAGATTCTACAACATGAACATTACTGTATGTTGTTTTGTGTCTAAACTTCAAGATGCTTTTGCTTCGTCTGCGATGGTCCCGGTCTCTGTAGGAAAAGTGAATGTAGGAGCTCTTTCTTTCTAATCTTTGTCTTGTTTGAGATCAGGAACTGGCTTTCTTCTAAATCACAGGGTTAGGGTACACACCCATAAATGTCATTGTTCACTGTGTTTAGTCTCTCTCTGGTCTCTCTCTGGTCTCTCTCTGGCCTCTCTCTGGCCTCTCTCTGGTCTCTCTCTGGTCTCTCTCTCTGGTCTCTCTCTGGTCTCTCTCTGGTCTCTCTCTGGCCTCTCTCTGGCCTCTCTCTGGTCTCTCTCTGGTCTCTCTCTGGCCTCTCTCTGGCCTCTCTCTGGTCTCTCTCTGGCCTCTCTCTGGCCTCTCTCTGGCCTCTCTCTGGCCTCTCTCTGGTCTCTCTCTGGCCTCTCTCTGGCCTCTCTCTGGCCTCTCTCTGGTCTCTCTCTGGCCTCTCTCTGGCCTCTCTCTGGCCTCTCTCTGGCCTCTCTCTGGTCTCTCTCTGGTCTCTCTGGTCTCTCTCTGGTCTCTCTCTCTGGTCTCTCTCTGGCCTCTCTCTGGCCTCTCTCTGGCCTCTCTCTGGTCTCTCTCTGGCCTCTCTCTGGCCTCTCTCTGGCCTCTCTCTGGTCTCTCTCTGGTCTCTCTGGTCTCTCTCTGGTCTCTCTCTCTGGCCTCTCTCTGGCCTCTCTCTGGCCTCTCTCTGGTCTCTCTCTGTTTTTGACTTTTCTGCTGCAGAACATTCCAGACAAAGCAAAAACATCTCTTTGGTGACGACAACATTGACCGTGTTTTTAAATATGCCACAAATTGCACAAATGTTTGACGAAGTACTGCAGGTACTGATTCTCACTTTTTACTCACAGTTCAAACATTCAGGAGGTTTTAACTGACTTTTATACAAATATGTACAACAAAACACTTATATCTGGTCTCTCTCTGCTCTCTCTCTCTCTATGCTCTCTTCCACTGGTCTCACTCGCTCTGCTCTCTTTCACTGGTATCTCTCTGGTCCCTCTCTCTGGTCCCTCTCTCTCTGGTCCCTCTCTCACTGGTCTCTCTCTCTCTCTGCTCTCTCTCTCTCTGCTCTCTTTCACTGGTCTCTCTCTCTGGTCTCTTGTCTCTCTTTCTGCTCTCTCACTGGTCTCTCTCTGGTCTCTCTCTCTCTGCTCTCTCTCTCACTGGTCTCTCTCTCTCACTGGTCTCTTTCTCTCTCTCTCTGGTCTCTTGTCTCTCTTTCTGCTCTCTCACTGGTCTCTCTCTGGTCCCTCTCTCTGTGCTCTCTCTCTCTCTGCTCTCTCTCTCTCTCACTGGTCTCTTTCTCTCTCTCTCTGGTCTCTTGTCTCTCTTTCTGCTCTCTCACTGGTCTCTCTCTGGTCCCTCTCTCTCTGCTCTCTCTCTCTCTGCTCTCTCTCTCTCTCTCACTGGTCTCTCTCTCTCTACTCTCTCTCTCTCTCACTGGTCTCTCTCTCTCTGCTCTCTCTCTCTCACTGGTCTCTCTCTCTGGTCTCTCTTCAAGTATGTGTAAGTTCCAAACTTGTATTCTAATGTATTTAGATAAATCTATATTTATCTCCAGCACTTTTGATTTCTCCTATACTCTGAGAGGTCAGTGAATGTAGCATTGTATCTGTTTGTTCTGTATCAACAAGAATCATGTAATAAATATGTATCCAGCATAACACAGGGCGGGGCCTTCTTTCCATTCAGCTCACTTCTTTCTTCTATCGCCCTAAATCACAACAGCATCATCTCAGAGACTTAACAAAACCATTGAAATCACCACAGATCAGAGAATCAACAGTTAACACACATGAAGAATATAGAACACATGTTGATAAATGTTAAAGTGTCCTGGATCATCACAGTCCTTGTTAGACTCTGACTGTAACAGACTCATCAGAGGAAAAACTCCAAAACCCAGAGGGAGAAAAGTGAGAAACCTCGGGGAGACCACATTGAGAGAGGGATCCGCTCACACGGACGGACGGGCTATAGATCCAGGACTCAGACTGTAGAACGAGGACTGAGGCTGTAGATCCAGGACTCAGACTGTAGAACGAGGACTGAGGCTGTAGATCCAGGACTCAGACTGTAGAACGAGGACTGAGGCTGTAGATCCAGGACTCAGACTGTAGAACGAGGACTGAGGCTGTAGATCCAGGACTCAGACTGTAGAACGAGGACTGAGGCTGTAGATCCAGGACTCAGACTGTAGAACGTGGACAGGTCCGGTGCAGGACTGAAGCGCTCCCAGGCGGGTCGGGCAGGGCAGTCCGCAGGTGTAGATGGAGGTCCAGAGGTCCCGTCGTTGCACCTCGAAACAGACAATGGGACAACGGGTGAATAGCAGTAAACAGACTACAGTCAACATTCTAACAATGCAGATATGCAGCTTTGGAGTCAATTGTGAAATTAAAGATGGGTCTCTGGGCTCCCATTTCGCTCTCTGTTCTCTCTTTTTCTGGTCTCTCTCTTGTCTCTCTCTCTGTTCTCTCTCTGGTCTTTATCTCTGGTCTCTCTCTGGTCTCTCTCTGGTGTCTCTCTGGTCTCTCTCTGGTATCTCTCTGGTCTCTGGTCTCTCTCTCTGGTCTCTCTCTGGTCTCTCTCTCTGGCCTCTCTCTGGTCTCTCTCTGGTCTCTCTCTGGTCTCTCTCTGGTCTCTCTCTGGTCTCTCTCTCTGTTCTCTCTCTGGTCTCGCTCTCTGGTCTCTCTCTGGTCTCTCTCTCTGGTCTCTCTGGTCTCGCTCTCTGGTCTCTGGTCTCGGGGTCAAACCAGCGACGGACCCTTTCAAAGCCTCTGCATGAATCTCCAGTGTTTGTTTTGCTTTTGGACACACTCTAAATCTTCCTGACAGCAACAAACCCCAGAGTCTGGAGCGGGACATAAATCCAGGACCGGGACCAGCACCAGCACCAGGACTATAAATACCCCAGTCCCAGCGTCGCTATGTGGCCCCTGACATCAGACACTACTACTGCTGCTCGCCTGCGTCAGAGAGGGGACCCCACCAGGACCGCAACACCACCGAGCTCTGGAAACCGGCAGGATTTAGAACACACCAGAATGATATATCTGAGCCCAGAGTGAGACCAGAGTGAGACCAGAGTGAGACCAGAGTGAGACCAGAGTGAGACCATAAGAGGTTTATTATTGACCCAAGAAGATAATCTGTACTTTTCACATTTACATGATTACATTGTTCATTACTTTGTAGTTGGCGAAACTTAAAAGCAGTTCTCTGCTGCTTGGTTAAGTCATTCCAGACCAGAGAGAGACCAGAGTTGGACCATGAATAAGACCAGAGAGGAACCAGAGAGAGACCTGGATGAGACCCGGTTTAAACCTGCATTTGTCCCACGTCCTGGGAGCAGGTGGAGGACTCTACGTCACTCGGAGTTTCCACTGCGTGACGTGGTTCATCAGGAAACACAGTTATGTCACAACAGGAGAGACCAGAGGGTCTACAAAGGGACCAGAGGGCCTACAGAGGGACCTGAGGGTCTACAGAGGGACCAGAGGGTCTAGACCAGAGGGTCTACAGGGGGACCAAAGGGTTTACAGAGGAACCAGAGGGTCTACATAGGGATCAGAGGGTCCACAAAGAGGACTGAGGCTGTAGACCCAGGACTGAGGCTGTAGACCCAGGACTGAGGCTGTAGACCCAGGACTCAGGCTGTAGACCCAGGACTCAGGCTGTAGACCCAGGACTGAAACTCCCAGAAGACACTATGTACAAAACGAATGTTTGAGCTGAAAACTTGGCTCTGGATTCAAACAAATTTCAGTAAATTGCAAACGTTTGATGTCACAATCTGTGTTCAACAGAAAACTGAGAACCACTGGGAGCATTACAACAGCAGAGACCAGAGAGAGACCAGAAGGAGACCAGAGAGAGACCAGAGAGAGGCCAGAGGGAGACCAGAGGGAGAGACCAGAGAGAGACCAGAGAGAGACCAGAGGGAGACCAGAGGGAGAGACCAGAGGGAGACCAGAGAGAGATCAGAGAGAGACCAGAGAGAGACCAGAGAGAGACCAGAGGGAGACCAGAGGGAGAGACCAGAGAGAGATCAGAGAGAGATCAGAGAGAGACCAGAGAGAGACCAGAGGGAGACCAGAGGGAGAGACCAGAGGGAGACCAGAGAGAGATCAGAGAGAGACCAGAGAGAGACCAGAGGGAGACCAGAGGGAGAGACCAGAGGGAGACCAGAGAGAGATCAGAGAGAGACCAGAGAGAGACCAGAGGGAGACCAGAGGGAGAGACCAGAGGGAGACCAGAGAGAGAGACCAGAGGGAGGCCAGAGAGGGACCAGAGAGAGACCAGAGAGACACCAGAGAGACTAGAGAGAGAGAGACCAGAGGCAAACCAGAGAGAGACCACAATACATTAAACAAAACTAATATTTGACCTGAAATACTGTACTCTGAAATGCTTTTTCTTGGCAGGAGAGAGACTCTCTGGGAGCAGGGACGAGGATTGAGAAAGAGAAACATGACGCTAACAAACACAAGCTGCTTCTCCTCTGAGCAACGAGATCGGAGCGAGAGGGCAGAGGCCACAGCAGATAATAAAACCAGGGTGTGTTTCCCATGAAGAGGAGGAGGAGGGTCTCTTTCTGTTGTCTCCCTGTGGTCTCTCTTTCTGGCCTCTCTCTAGTGTCTCTCTCTGGTCTGTCTCTGGTCTCTCGCTGGTCTCTCGCTAAAGTGCCTCTCTGTTCTCTCTGGTCATTTTCTGGTCTCTCTCTATGTTCTCTCTCTAGCCTCTCTCTTGTCTCTCTCTCTGGTCTCTTTCTGGTCCCTCTCTAGTCTCTCTCTGGTCCCTCTCTGATCTCTCTCTCTAGTACCTCTCTGGTCTCTCTCTCTTGCCTCTCTCTCTCTGGTCCCTCTCTCTGGTCGCTCTCTGACCTCCCTCTCTGGTCTCTCTCTCTAGCCTCTCTCTGGTCTCTCTCTCTGGTCTCTTTCTGGTCCCTCTCTAGTCTCTCTCTGGTCCCTCTCTGATCTCTCTCTCTAGTACCTCTCTGGTCTCTCTCTCTTGCCTCTCTCTGGTCTCTCTCTGATCTCTCTCTGGTTTCTCTCTGGTCTCTCTCTCTGGTCTCTCTCTGGTCTCTCTCTGGTCTCTCTCTGGTCTCTCTCTCTGGTCCCTCTCTCTGGTCTCTCTCTGGTCTCTCTCTGGTTTCTCTCTGGTCTCTCTCTCTGGTCTCTCTCTGGTCTCTCTCTGGTCTCTCTCTGGTCTCTCTCTCTGGTCTCTCTAGTCCTAGCAGATACACCAGTTACTATTAAAGCCGCAAGCGGCGTTGAACGGCCCTCGCCGCACCGCGTGACCCCCACATGTGTGGAAAGGATAATTTTTCATTTTTCATTTTGAATTGAAATTTATGGGCTTCCTGTTTGTCAGGGGGTGGGGCCATAATAACTTTTATTTCATGTCTTGAGTTGAGGAATATATGTACCAAATTTCATGCCCATACGACAAACTTGGCTTCAAACCCCTCCCATACTAAAAACTTTGACACACTCTGTAGGGGGCGCTAATGAGCCAAGCTCATTTATTTCACTTTTAATTGACTTAAACCCTACAGCTGAACAGACTTTGTTTGTGCAAACGGGAGCAAATTCATCATGGGCAAAGACGGCCAAAAAAACGCCACATTTTGCCGCTCCGCTGCTCAAACAATGTTTCACTGATCAAACTTCCCTGGAGTCATTTTGAAGGTACATGTGTTGAGATGATCTGGAGCAATTTTGAGGCGAATCGGTGAAACTGCCGAGGAGGAGTTGCTTTCCAACCGACATGTATGAAAATTATTGCTGTTAATTTTTTCATTTTGCAGGGAGATTTATGGGCTTCCTGTTTGTCAGAGGGCGGGGCCATAATAATATTTTCTTTCTTGTCTTGACTTGAGGAACATGTGTACCGAATTTCATGACTCTACGACAAACTTGACCTCCGAAAACTCCCATAGGGGTATTATTTTGGCTGTTGTAGGTGGCGCTGTTCTGGCATTTTTTGAGTCCCATAAAAATAAACACAAAAATATAAAAAATTTTGCCAGGTCTGATTTTTGGGCAAAATTTGACAACTTTTCATGCATGTTCAGGGGGTCAAATTAAGGCTCAAAGAGCAGAAGAAAAAAGAAACCAAACCAAACCAAACCAAACCAAGGAATTTTTTTTGACGTCTCGAGCAAAAACAACATAGGTTTCAATGGCACCTGATACATCATTTTAAAGCGTTTGCGTTTACGCACACAACCGTCACGTTGTGGTGAGTGACGGGCGCTGACGCGTCCGTCACGCACCGCCACCATTTGTTTTCACCATTGTGAAAGCAATACATAGTTCCCACATGACGTCACTACATACGGGGATTTGCCGACCCGGCGACATTTGTGTTGGCATTCTGTGGGCAAAACAATAGAAAAAGAAGCTGAAACGTGTTAATGTCGTGATAAAGTTGAAAATGGTCATCTCCTGCTGGGTCAATGGATGTTCAAATCGTGCCGGAGGTTCCGTTAAACTTGGATTTTACAGTATACCCATCATTAGACTTCATGAATGTGAGAAGACTAAGCTTTTGTCAGAACAACGACGGAGGTTATGGCTTGCGAAGATAAACAGGCAAGAAACTCCCTCAAAACACGCAAGAATATGCTCAGAGCACTTTGTGTCAGGTGCGTATCGTATCTTATAATGTGTTGACAGACGTAATTTACTCAGTACTAACTTGTGTATGCTGATATCTGGTAACTTGAGAGTTTCATTATTTAGATTACTTTATTATGAGGAGGATCGGTGTCGCGTCCGAGGCTCTCGAGGGCAACGTAAATGTATTAAATAGATAATAATAGTTCTATGGTGGGCTAAAACAATGTTCACAAACAGCATTGCTTCTGTAAAAAGATCTGTGTCATAAAATAAACTGCTCTTTACGCCTGGAAAAATCAGTTGCCCACCATTCACCAAAACATACGGTCAAAAACGCGGAAATAAACAATAACAGCAATCCAGAGTGTCCGTGTGGCATTAGCATTAATTAAATTAATTGTTAATATAATTAAAATAATTAAATGGAGCTCCAACTGGTATTAAATCTAAAGTTTTTGAGAAATGTTTGCATTGCTTGTTAATTTTTGCTGCATAATTTGATCAAATATGTAAAACATGTCCGTAGCATGTTAAACTGTGGTGCCATTGTATTAATATACAATTATTTGCTCAAAAGTTGCCCTTTTTTTCCAATTTGCGTTTGAATATCTACATTTATTCTCATTCTTCTGTTTAATGGGATGCACAAACACAGCAGCGTGCCATCAAAGATGGCGTCTCCGAGGAGGTCATGTGACATTCATTGGTCTGTGGGAACTATGTATAGGCCCTTACCCCGTTCGGGGCTCGGGCCTAATGATAAATTCTTCCACGGTTCTTTAATAACCGTGGTCTCCTAAACCACACACTCGGGTCATGGGGTAAAGCTGTGTTGTTTTGACTCCAGGTCGTATTGTTTCAAGTCTGCGGGACACTTCCTCTGCTCTGGCTTCTCTCAGTCTGAGCTGGGACTCGGCAGGACGTAGTCTGGACCAGTCTGGACCCGGTCTGAACTAAGGTCCGGACTGAGTGGATCTGACAGCTTCCACATGGTCCTGTGGCTTCATGACGTCAAGCTGGAAACAAGGAGAGAAACTGGAGGAAAGGTGAGCAGGTCCAGAGCAGCTTTGATGAGACCGGCCAATCAGAGGCAGCGGCCAATCAGAGGCAGCGGCCAATCAGAGGCAGCGGCCAATCAGAGGCAGCGGCCAATCAGAGGCAGAGGCAGCAACCAATCAGAGGCAGCGAACAATCAGAGGCAGCAGTCTCTGGTCTCTCTCTGGTCCCTCTCTTGTCTCCCTCTGGTCTCTCTGTGGTCTCTCTCTGGTCTCTCTCTGGTCTCTCTCTGGTCCCTCTCTTGTCTCCCTCTGGTCTCTCTGTGGTCTCTCTCTGATCTCTCTCTGGTCTCTCTCTGGTCTCTCTTTGGTCTCTCTCTGGTCTCTCTCTTTCTGGTCTCTCTCTGGTCTCTCTCTCTGGTCTCTCTCTGGTCTCTCTCTGGTCTATCTCTGGTCTCTCTCTTTCTGGTCTCTCTCTGGTCTCTCTCTCTGGTCTCTCTCTGGTCTCTCTGTGGTCTCTCTCTGGTCTATCTCTGGTCTCTCTCTTTCTGGTCTCTCTCTGGTCTCTCTCTCTGGTCTCTCTCTGGTCTCTCTGTGGTCTCTCTCTGGTCTCTCTGGTCTCTCTCTGGTCTCTCTTTGGTCTCTCTCTGGTCTCTCTCTTTCTGGTCTCTCTCTGGTCTCTCTCTCTGGTCTCTCTCTGGTCTCTCTCTGGTCTCTCTCTGGTCTCTCTCTTTCTGGTCTCTCTCTGGTCTCTCTCTCTGGTCTCTCTCTTTCTGGTCTCCCTCTGGTCTCTCTCTGGTCTCTCTCTCTGGTCTCTCTCTCTAGTCTCTCTCTACTCTCTCTCTGGTCTCTCTGGTCTATGTCTGGTCTCTCTCTGGTCCCTCTCTGGTCTCTCTCTGGTTCCAGTAATTGAGTTGATGGTTTCTTGCAGAGCGTGAGAGCAGCAGGGCGTTCCACATTCTCTCATAAATCACATCCAGAAGTTTGAACTCCACAGGCTACACACACCTACACATACGATACACAACTACACAAAAGAGACAATGCAATACATTGTGCAATGCAGAGAGCAACCAAATACACACAGGTGTGTGTGCGTGCGTGCGTGCGTATGTGTGTGCATGTGCGTGTGTGTGTATGTATGTGTGTGTTACAGACTCTGGCACCAGACTGATCCAAAAGAAAATAGGAACCTCCTAAAACAATGTGTGTGTGATCTTCCTCCATCCATCACACACTGACACTCCCTCTGGTCCCCCTTTGGTCTCTCTCTGGTCTCTCTCTGGTCTCCCTCTGGTCTCTCTCTCTGGTCTCTCTCTGGTCTCCCTCTGGTCTCTCTCTCTGGTCTCTCTCTAGTCTCTCTTTGGTCTCTCTCTCTAGTCTCTCTCTCTGGTCTCTCTCTGGTCTCTCTCTCTGGTCTCTCTCTCTAGTCTCTCTCTGGTCTCTCTCTCTGCGGTCTCTCTCTCTAGTCTCTCTCTCTGGTCTCTCTCTCTAGTCTCTCTCTGGTCTCTCTCTGGTCTCTCTCTGGTCTGTCTTTGGTCTCTCTCATGGTCTCTCTCTGGTCTCTCTCTGGTCTTTCTCTGGTCTGTCTTTGGTCTCTCTCATGGTCTCTCTCTGGTCTCTCTCTGTTCTCCCTCTGGTCTCTCTCTGGTCTCTCTGGTCTCTCTCTGGTCTCCCTCTGGTCTCTCTCTGGTCTCCCTCTGGTCTCTCTCTCTGGTCTCCCTCTGGTCTCTCTCTGGTCTCTCTGGTCTCTCTCTGGTCTCTCTCTGGTCTCTCGTTGGTCTCTCTTTGGTCTCTCTTTGGTCTCTCTCTGGTCTCTCTCTGGTCTCTCTCTGGTCTCTCTCTGGTCTCCCTCTGGTCTCCCTCTAGTCTCTCTCTGGTCTCTCTGGTCTCTCTCTGGTCTCTCTCTGGTCTCCCTCTGGTCTCTCTCTGGTCTCTCTGGTCTCTCTCTGGTCTCCCTCTGGTCTCTCTCTGGTCTCTCTCTCTCTCTCTGGTCTCTCTCTGGTCTCTCTCTGGTCTCTCTCTGGTCTCTCTCTCTCTCTCTGGTCTCTCTCTGGTCTCTCTCTGGTCTCTCTCTGGTCTCCCTCTGGTCTCTCTCTGGTCTCTCTTTGGTCTCTCTCTGGTCTCTCTCTGGTCTCCCTCTCTGGTCTCTCTTTGGTCTCTCTCTGGTCTCTCTCTGGTCTCTCTCTGGTCTCTCTCTGGTCTCTCTCTGGACTCTCTTTTCAACTTTTCTGCCAAAGCTGATCTTTAGCCTCCGGTGAGGACTGACTGTGATCAATATCGCCCTCTTCTGGACAAAACACGAACAATCTCAATAAAGTAGCAGTAACGTTTTAAATAAATAAACTCAGGGCTAGAACCTGCGAAAATAAAATAACATTAGTTTTGTTTATGTGCAGTCAGTGGGAAAATTACTGACTGAAATGTGAGTAACTTTATCAAGCAAAACCGATTTTCTTCAATAACACACAAAGAGTATGTAGATTAGAGTAGAGTAGAGTAGGCAGAGTGGAGTAACGTAGGGTAGAGTAAAGTAGAGTCAAGTAGAGTCGAGTTGAGAGAGACTTTTGTCCTATCATTATAATATTCAAAGACCTAAATGCACAGTTTATATAATATTCTTTAATTCTTCAAACACATGTCCGTAATTCCACCGCCTCAGTCATGTGACCCGCGCGCGCACAGATGGCCCATAATCCCGCACACAATCTAGATTAGAACCCGATGCTTCTGTCACACACCGGGACTTCCTCGGGACCACCGTCCACATTCCCCCGGATCGTATAATCTCACCGCAAATCCGCCGCTGGATTAAATTATTATCGGGGGAGTTCGGAGGTTCGCAGCGGGGAGAGAGAGCGATCTGCGGCGGGAGATGTCACCAGATTATCGGGTATTTTTACCTCCGTGTTTGGTGAGTCTCTGGAGCAGACCGGACTGAGGAGCGGAGAGGCCAGAGGAGGAACCACACACACAGACAAGGTGAGACTTCATAATCTGACTTTAATCTGGTGTTTTTGCACTGGTTTGTGTCTGAGACTGAACGAGAAAGTCCAGGAACTATGAGATTACTGTGTGGGAGAGAGATTCTTCAGGAGTCTTCAGAGAAAAAACCTCCATAGAAAAGTTTTAATCTGTGAGTTCTTCGGACTCAGTGGAATTTAAATTAAATTAAATTCAAGCCAATAAAATGTGTTTCTTTGTAAAGTGACAGTGTTTTTAAAAAAAATTTGATGTGAAGACTTTAATGGTTATACTGGACGATTTTTCTCAAATTTTAGGAAAGAACCGCACTCTTCCATTGTCACCAGAATGATTGACAGTTAGGAGGACCAATAGTCTCTAGATGATCTAAGAATGTGAAACTGTCTGATCCTAGGGACACATTATTAGCATAATCAGTCATGTTGATACTGAACTAATGAGACCGGAGAACACAGTGGGAGCCTGAACCACAGCAGCAGTCATCCAGGACCCAGGACTGAGGCTGTAGACCCGGGACTAAGGCTGTAGACCCAGGACTGAGGCTGTAGACCCAGGACTAAGGCTGTAGACCCGGGACTAAGGCTGTAGACCCAGGACTAAGGCTGTAGACCCGGGACTAAGGCTGTAGACCCAGGACTGAGGCTGTAGACCCGGGACTGAGGCTGTATAGACCCGGGACTAAGGCTGTAGACCCAGGACTGAGGCTGTAGACCTGGGACTGAGGCTGTAGACCCGGGACTGAGGCGCAGATGGAGGAGTCAGTGACAGGGCACCATGTCTCTCAGTCCAAGTCTCTCGGTCCATGTCCCCATAGTCCATGTCCCCATAGTCCATGTCTCTCAGTCCAAGACTCAGTTTTTCCTCCAGTTATAAATTGTTGAAGTATTTTTCCATCTGTGTCTCGTTCACATCTAACACTTTGTTCTTGAATGTCTCTCATGTCTAATTGTCTCTTGTTCCCTCAGCTCGCGGCTCGGCCCTCGCGGCTCGGCCCTCGCGGCTCTCCCGTTGGGCCCTGGTCTCCCCCGTCTTCCCCCTCCTCCCCCCTCCTCCCCAGTCACCATGGGCTTCCTGGAGAACTACCAGGAGATCGACCCTGTGACCCTGAACCTGTGCATCCTGATCGCCAGCTACGTGATGCTGCTGCTGGTCTTCCTCATCTCCTGCATCATGTACGACTGTCGCGGCAAAGACCCCACCAAGGAGTACGCCCCGGACCCGGCCCCGACCCAGTCCCCGATCCGCCTCGTGGTCATGCAGAGCTCCCCCGCCCCAGTGGCCCGCTGGGACGCCGCCAACATGATCACCACCTACCACGACCACGCAGACACCAGGGAGAAGAAGTCCACGATGGTCTGAGTCTAAGTCTGACTCTGGACTCTGGACTATGGCCTGAGTCTGGGCTGAGTATGGGCTGAGTCTGGGCTGAGTCTGGGCTGAGTCTGGGCTGAGTCTGGGCTGAGTCTGGGCTGAGTCTGGGCTGAGTCTGGGCTGAGTCTGGGCTGAGTATGGGCTGAGTCTGGGCTGAGTCTGGGCTGAGTCTGGGCTGAGTCTGGGCTGAGTCTGGGCTGAGTCTGGGCTGAGTCTGGGCTGAGTCTGGGCTGAGTCTGGGGTGGGATTCTACCAACATGATCACCTCCTACCACGACCATGGAGACACCAGGGAGTAGAAGTCCATGATGGTCTGAGCTAGGGTCTGGTCTCTGTTCTGAAATCTGGTCTGGACTCTGGCCTGGACTCTGGCCTGGACTCTGGTCTGGACTCTGGTCTGGACTCTGGTCTGGACTCTGGTCTGGACTCTGGTCTGGACTCTTGTCTGGACTCTTGTCTGGACTCTGGTCTGGACTATGGTCGGGACTCTGGTCTGGACTCTTGTCTGGACTCTGGTCTGGACTCCGGTCTGGACTATGGTCTGGACTCTGGTCTGGACTCTGAGGCTGGACTCTGGTCTGGACTCTGGTCTGGACTCTGAGGCTGGACTCTGGTCTGGACTCTTGTCTGGACTCTGGTCTGGACTCCGGTCTGGACTATGGTCTGGACTCTGGTCTGGACTCTGAGGCTGGTGCCTTTAGACTCATCACGTCAGTTAAAGCTGGGGTACTGAACTTTGAGGCCGATGGCGTCCATGAGGTGTGGAGGAGCAGCGGCTCTTCACCGAGCTCCACTCTGCAGAGGACACTCATGGAGCTTGTTTCCGTGATCTCGTTCTTTTGACCCAGAGCTCATGGCAAGAGGGGACGGAGAGAGCTCTGAGTGCAGACGCTGCTCCCTCTTCACCACAACAGTCCGATACAGCGTCTGCATCACTGCACAAAGATACGTCCCCCAGCTTTGAATCTGAATCCTGCTTCTCTGAACATTTGGAGATTTGCTTCCATGGACCTCTGGAGTTTCCTCTGGAGTTTGCATGTTCTCTCTGTGTCTGCATAGGTCTGTGTAGGTTTCCCTCCTGGTGCTCCGGTTTCGTCTACCATTGGTTTCTCCCTGGGGTCTCTCCCTGGTCTCTCTCCCTGGTCTCTTCTCTCACTGGTCTCTCTCTGGTCTCTCTCTCTGGTCTTTCTCTCTGATCTCTCTCTCTCTGGTCTCTCTCTCTGGTCTCTTCTCTCACTGGTCTCTCTCTGGTCTCTCTCTCTGGTCTCTTCTCTCACTGGTCTCTCTCTCTCTCTGGTCTCCCTGGTCTCTCTCTCTGGTCTCTTCTCTCACTGGTCTCTCTCTGGTCTCTCTCTCTGGTCTTTTCTCTCACTGGTCTCTCTCTGGTCTCTTCTCTCACTGGTCTCTCTCTGGTCTTTTTCTCTCACTGGTCTCTCTCTGGTCTCTCTCAGGTCTCTCTTTCTCAGTTCTCTCTCAAGTCTCTCTCTGGTCTTTCTCTCTGGTCTCTCTCTCTCTCTGGTCTCTCTCTCTCTCTGGTCTCTCTCTCTCTCTGGTCTCTCTCTCTCTCTGGTCTCTCCGATGTTTTCAGACCAAACGTCCGTCGAGGGAACCATGTGCATCCATGTTTGATGTGAACTTATACATTCGTGTTTTGATTTATTTTGTAAATAAAATACTTTTTTATAATAATTTTTTATTCCTGCGAGATTTTGATGGCCTGGTTCTACTCGGCCTTGGTCAACTCTGCCTGGGTCTACTCGGCCTGGTTCTACTCTGCCTTGGTCTAGAGTAGAAGAGTAGAACCAGGCTGAGCAGAACCAGGCCGAGCAGAACCAGGCCGAGTATTTTCTCTGTGTTGTTGTGCTGGTGCAGTGTGATGTTCAGCCTGGATTAGCGCTGGACATTTGGCCTGTGTTACGTAACAACCAGATCTCAGTATATCTGGATTACACCAGAGGACTGGTTTACAGTCCTCTGCGGCAGAGTGGTTAGCTCTGCTCTTCCATAACAACGACAGGGAGGCGGACTTTCACAAATACACTGCAAAAAGAGATAAAAAAATTAATGTATCTTAATTTGAGCACATTCTGACTAAGCCTAAAACAAGATTTTCCATTGGTGCAAAACAAAATTATCTTGTTTTAAAAAGAAATTTCTCCCTTGGAATGAGGAAATAAAGTTGCAAGTCCCGTTGGAGAATCAGTCAGAATAAATTCAGAATAAGAAAAAAAAAAATAACACTAATATAACGACAGTAGCTCAGTTGGTACAGCATTGGCCTTAAGGCCAGAAGGTCGTGGGTTCAATTCCCACCTCTGCACCTTCTCCACCGACTCCCACTGACTGGTGTCGTTGTGTCCTTGGGCAAGACACTTAACCCCACTTTGCCCAAAGCCCCCACTGGAAGATCTCAGCTCCTGTGGACTCACCACCTGCAGAGGGTCAGTGAGGGGCTGGTGCTATGAGACTTGGGTGGCATCTCTGACTGCCACCCCCCTGACCCAGAAATGGATTAAAGGGTAGAACATGGATGGATGGATGGAAAATAACACTAAGATATAATAATTTGACCTCATAACTATAATTGTTTGTAGTGGACAGAAAATATATCTGGAATTTCATTGATTGGAATCAGAAGGAAGCAAAAACATTCTTCCAGACGTGATGTTCTTCCCCGAAATTCAGACTCGAGAAGCTTAGACTTTTGGGCGTCTCTCCTCGACGGTGGATCAGAGCCTGTCCCTTCTTGTTTGGATCGTTGTGTCGTCTGGTGTAGTGGTTCTCTTGGCACCCCCCTTAGCTCGGTTAGCATCACCAGACTTTCACAATAGTAGCCCAGTTTCCAACTGCCCTACTCTACTCTGCTCTACTCTACTCTGCTCTGCTCTACTCTACTCTACTCTACTCTACTCTACTCTGCTCTGCTCTGCTCTACTCTACTCTACTCTACTCTACTCTACTCTACTCTACTCTACTCTACTCTGCTCTGCTCTGCTCTGCTCTGCTCTACTCTACTCTACTCTACTCTACTCTACTCTACTCTACTCTACTCTACTCTACTGTGCTCTACTCTACTCTACTCTACTCTACTCTACTCTACTCTGCTCTGCTCTGCTCTACTCTACTCTACTCTACTCTACTCTACTCTACTCTGCTCTACTCTACTCTACTCTACTCTACTCTACTCTACTGTGCTCTACTCTACTCTACTCTACTCTACTCTACTCTACTCTACTCTACGCCCCCGGTGTCTGTGCAGGTTTTCTCCATGTGCTCCTGTTCACCTCACCGCTAAAATTATTTACAATTTTTAAAATCTATACATACACACATAGACACACACATAGACAGACACAGACACGTACATATGCACAAACAGACACACACACAGACAGAGAGACACACACACAGACAGAGAGACACACACACACAGAGACACAGACAGACAGAGAGACACACACACACACAAACAGACAGACAGAGACACACACACACACAGAGAGAGACACAGACAGACAGAGGCACACACACACACAGACACACACAGAGAGGCACAAACGCACACAGAGAGAGACACAGACAGAGGCACACACACACACACAGAGAGGCACACACGCACACAAACACAGAGATACAGACAGAGACGCACACACACACACAGAGATACAGACAGAGACGCACACACACACACAGAGATACAGAGACACACACACACACACACAGAGATACAGACAGAGGCACACACACACACACAGAGGCACACACGCACACAAACACAGAGATACAGACAGAGACGCACACACACACACAGAGATACAGACAGAGACGCACACACACACACAGAGATACAGAGACACACACACACACACAGAGATACAGACAGAGGCACACACACACACACAGAGGCACACACGCACACAAACACAGAGATACAGACAGAGACGCACACACACACACAGAGATACAGACAGAGACGCACACACACACACAGAGATACAGAGACACACACACACACACAGAGATACAGACAGAGGCACACACACACACACAGAGGCACACACGCACACAAACACAGAGATACAGACAGAGACGCACACAGACATAGAGTCACACACACACACACACACATTCAAACACACTACATCACAAAATGCGTTAAACTAGACCCGAATCCCTCCTTCTCTTTCTACTTCCTTGATTCCTTATGGGTGTCATGTAAATCATTTCTGTGTGATGTCACTTCCATGCTCAATGCTCACACATGAACATAAAAATGAAAAACACAGCCGGTATCAGCCCGGTTCAAACCAGAGTGGACCCGTGGATCTGCCTCCTGTGACACTGACCCAAATGAAGGTGAGATCAGGTCTTTTCCCAGAGCGACGCCTAAAGCTCCATAAGCTCCAGTCTCCTTTTACTCTCACTCAGAGCTGCGTAATCTGTGCTTCTGAGAAACAGCCTCCGGATCATTCATAAAAACAGGACATGGGTCTGGTCCACAGGTCAGAGAGCGGTGTGCCGCCGAGACTAATCCAGGTTCACTGTCGGGTCAGAAAACAGGTCCTGTACTTTAGAATGCTCTGGAAACAGCAGCGAGTCCTCAGTGTCTGAAACAGAAAACCTGAGATGTTGCTGCAGTTCAGTGTTCATGGTTTTACACTGGTCCAGACCAGAGCAGAGAGGATTCATGGTTTTACACTGGTCCAGACCAGAGCAGAGAGGATTCATGGTTTTACACTGGTCCAGACCAGAGCAGAGAGGATTCATGGTTTTACACTGGTCCAGACCAGAGCAGAGAGGATTCATGGTTTTACACTGGTCCAGACCAGCGCAGAGAGGATTCATGGTTTTACACTGGTCCAGACCAGAGCAGAGAGGATTCATGGTTTTACACTGGTCCAGACCAGAGCAGAGAGGATTCATGGTTTTACACTGGTCCAGACCAGAGCAGAGAGGATTCATGGTTTTACACTGGTCCAGACCAGAGCAGAGAGGATTCATGGTCCGAACCAAGTGGATCAGCCGAAGATCCACTGGAGGAATGCTAACTTTATGAAAAATGCTAATAAAGCATTTAGCACTTTACTTTGTATCAGAGCAGAGACAATGATTTGAACCAAAATAATAAAAAAGCATCAGTTTTATACAGCGCTTTTCTGGACACTCAAAAACATGTCATCATTCTCTCTCTCCAACACGGTGGTGATAAACTACTGTAGCCACAGCTGCCCTGGGGCACACTGACAGAAGCGAGGCAACCAGTCTGTGCCATTCACACACACACACCAGACTCATTCTAATGTGGGGGAAGTGTCTTGCCTAAAGACACAACCACAGTTTGGCGCTTTACAGCCGCCCCACTGTGGCACCTGCTATTCCCAGAGGTTTCCCATCAGTCGGTGACCAGGTCCTACCCTGCTTAGCCTCAGAGGTCTGACTGGATCTGGCTGTGACCTGCAGGTGGCGCCACATTATCAATAATGTTTTCCCCATTTCTCTACTATCAGTAATACCATTACAGACTCTTATTCTCAGTCAGTTTTTTCTCCCAGAGCTTCCAGAAACACACACCATCAACTATTGGATAAACTAATGGAGAAGATTTAAAAAACGTTGTCTGGGACGGAGGGCGACAGTGGCTCTGTAGAGAGAGCAGTGGCCTTTGAGCCTGAAGGTCGTGGGTTCGAGCCCCAAGACTTTTCTGTTGTTGTGTCCTTAGGCAAGACACTTCCCCCACATTAGAATGAGTCTGGTGTGTGTGTGTGAATGGCACAGACTGGTTGCCTCGCTTCTGTCAGTGTGCCCCAGGGCAGCTGTGGCTACAGTAGTTTATCACCACTGTGTTTGGAGAGAGAGAATGATGATGTGAAGAGACTTTGAGCGTCCTGGAGGCTCTGAATAAAACTGATCATTATTATTATTTATGGACCAATGGCTCTGTGTGTTTCTATCACCGTATTTCTTTGATCTGTTTGATTCTTTGATCTTTGTTGGAGAATCGATCGCTTTGTAAAGTCCTCCAAGAAAACTACGGTTGTGCTTTAGGCCTTTGCAATAATTGAATTGAATTATTAGTCCAGTATTAGTCCAGAGATCAGAGAGCGGAGCAGGAGCGGCCCCAGCTGTTCCCGACCTCCAGCTGCTGCCGTCCTCGGGGCAGATGAGGCCTGTGTTCTGTGAGCTGGAAAATCTGTCCCTGAGGTCGTCGAGTGCACTTCACACTGATCACATGACCAGGGCATCAGAATCAAAGGGACGTGACAACTGAGGCAGCAGACCCTGACGCTGTAGACCCAGGACTGAGGAGGCTGTAGATCCAGGACTGAGGCTGCAGACCCAGGACTGAGGCTGTGGATCCAGGACTGAGGCTGTAGACCCAGGACTGAGGCTGTAGATCCGGGACTGAGGCTGTAGACCCAGGACTGAGGCTGTAGATCCAGGACTGAGGCTGTAGACCCAGGACTGAGGCTGTAGATCCAGGACTGAGGCTGTAGACCCAGGACTGAGGCTGTAGATCCAGGACTGAGGCTGTAGATCCAGGACTGAGGCTGTAGATCCAGGACTGAGGCTGTAGACCCAGGACTGAGGCTGCAGATCCAGGACTGAGGCTGCAGATGAATGATAAATACTAATAGTTATTGGGATACATTACAAATTGTCAATACTTTCTATGTATACATTGTAAATTTAATGTTGTTGATAAATTAAGTAAATTAAATTCTGTTTGCTGTTCACCAGTGCCTTTGTGTTTCTTTGGGCGGTACGGTGGCTGAGTAGATAGCACTCTCGCTTCTCAGCGAGAAAGTGCTGGGTTTGAATCCCGGTCGGACCAGGGCCTTTCTGAGTGGAGTTTGCATGTTCTCCCCGTGTCTGCGCAGGTTTCCTCCGGGCACACCGGTTTCCCCTACCACAAAAAATATGTACAAGAGGTCTGGCATGTGCCTCCTGTACTGGCCCCGCTCCCATCTCTGTGAGGAGTGAGAGACAATAACAAGAATAACAATTGTAAACCGCTTTGTGACTCTGGTCTGTGAAAGGTGGTATATAGATAGGTAAATAAAGAATACTTACTTACTTATTTACTATGAGTAGACCTCACCATGTCTGGGGGGTTATGGTCTCATCAAATTGATATGAAATCCTATTAAAAATACCCCAAAAAACTACATTATTCTGGTGCTTTCCAAATCCCCGCCCTCTCATTTGTGATTGGCTCATGCGCCGTTTTTCAGGTCGCTGATTGGCTCTTTTCTCCTGTCACTCCCACTGCTGTCACCACCGGTTCTTGGGGCGCAGACTCACGCCGACCATCAGCCACTGCCCTCGGCTTGGAGGCAGCGGCAGACCCGGGGTTGCCGAATACTGTCTTCTTGCTTCTTCATGGACACTTTGGACTAAAACCCGCGGGAATGAGCAGCCCTTATCACAGAATGGTGTTGAGAAAGAGGCTAAAAAGAAGAGGCTGTGACTGTGGGCTGTGATGCTAACCCGGAGCTAGTGCTAACTTGTTTTCTTTGGACTTTGAAATAGTGCGTTATTCTTCTTTCAACCAGACTATTATTTTGCTGGTTTGCACATATATACTTTTGATTCATAGTGTAAAAAGCCTAGACATGAAGCGTGCTAACAGCTTTCATAGGTGGGTATCAACACAATGCATTGCCTACAGCATCAGAATCAGAATCATTTTTATTGCCACGTAAGTAACAGGAGGTCACAGACTAGAAAATTGCTAGCATGTATGATGCATGAAGCTGCTGTTGCATGTAAGAGCCTTGGATCTATAATAATATCCATAGTTTGTTTGTGGTTACGTTTAGAAGGGCCTGTCCTCCTCTTACAATACACCTGGGATGTCTCTTTTGAAGCTGATATTGCACCATTTGCAGATGTAAACAGAAGGAGCTAGCTTTGTTATATATATGCCATATTACCACTAGAGAGAGAGACCAGAAAGAGAGAGCAAAGAGAGACTAGAGAAAGGCCAGAGAGAGAGAGAGCAAAGAGAGACTAGAGAAAGGCCAGAGAGAGAGAGAGCAAAGAGAGACTAGAGAAATACCAGAGAGAGCAAAGAGAGACTAGAGAAATACCAGAGAGAGCAAAGAGAGACTAGAGAAATACCAGAGAGAGCAAAGAGAGACTAGAGAAAGACCGGAGAGAGAGCAAAGAGAGACCAGAGAGAGAGCAAAGAGAGACTAGAGAAAGACCGGAGAGAGAGAGCAAAGAGAGACCAGAGAGAGCAAAGAGAGACTAGAGAAATACCAGAGAGAGCAAAGAGAGACTAGAGAAATACCAGAGAGAGCAAAGAGAGACTAGAGAAATACCAGAGAGAGCAAAGAGAGACTAGAGAAAGACCGGAGAGAGAGCAAAGAGAGACCAGAGAGAGAGCAAAGAGAGACTAGAGAAAGACCGGAGAGAGAGAGCAAAGAGAGACCAGAGAGAGCAAAGAGAGACTAGAGAAATACCAGAGAGAGAGCAAAGAGAGACTCGAGAAATACCAGAGAGAGAGAGAGAGACCAGAAAGAGAGCAAAGAGAGACTAGAGAAAGACCAGAGAGAAAGAGACCAGAGAGAGAGACCAGAAAGAGACCAGAGAGAGAGAGCAAAGAGAGACCAGAGAGAGAGAGCAAAGAGAGACCAGAGAGAGAGAGCAAAGAGAGACTAGAGAAAGACCAGAGAGAGAGATAGGGCAGAGAGTGGCGATTGGAGAGAGAGAGATCACAAAGATAGACTGGAGAGAAAGAGAGACCAGAGTAGTACTAGTATTAGTAATTTAGACATAATAACACCAGACTGTTGTCCCGGGTCAAAGATCGTATAAAGTCTAACTATTTTTTTCCCCAAAGTCCGGACGCCCAAAGAGGCAAACTGAAACACACTGGAAAAGGGTAAGAGACACCAGAGTGATCTATACTTTCTTTTCCAAAGCCAAAACTCTGGTTCAATGAGTTTCTCTTTCTTCTGTCACTGGTTCTCTGCTCGTCTCATTGGTTTTCAAACAAATGTATCTCCTGTTCCTACTGTTGTGGCTGGTCTTAATGTTTTTAAGTAATGTATGTTGTTTACCATTTGACTGAGATTATTACAGGGATATTATCTGTAGAAGAGGGACTACAGAGAGAGAGACCAGAGAGGGAGACCAGAGAGAGAGACCGGAGAGAGAGACTAGAGACCAGAGAGAGAGACCAGAGAGGGAGACCAGAGAGGGAGACCAGAGAGGGAGACCAGAGAGGGAGACCAGAGAGGGAGACCGGAGAGGGAGACTGGAGAGAGAGACTAGAGAGAGAGACCAGAGAGGGAGACCAGAGAGAGAGACCGGAGAGAGAGACTAGAGAGACCGGAGAGAGAGACTAGAGAGAGGGACCAGAGAGAGGGACCAGAGAGAGGGACCAGAGAGAGAGGGACCAGAGAGAGGGACCAGAGAGAGGGACCAGAGAGAGGGACCAGAGAGAGAGACCAGAGAGAGAGACCAGAGAGAGAGACCAGAGAGAGAGACCAGAGAGAGAGACCAGAGAGAGAGAGACCAGAGAGAGAGACCAGAGAGAGAGAGACCAGAGAGAGAGACCCAGAGAGAGAGACCAGAGAGAGAGACCAGAGAGAGAGACCAGAGAGAGACCAGAGAGAGAGACCAGAGAGAGAGACCAGAGAGAGAGACCAGAGAGAGAGACCAGAGAGAGAGACCAGAGAGAGAGACCAGAGAGAGAGACCAGAGAGAGAGACCAGAGAGAGAGACCAGAGAGAGAGACCAGAGAGAGAGACCAGAGACCAGAGAGAGAGACCAGAGAGAGAGACCAGAGAGAGAGACCAGAGAGAGAGACCAGAGAGAGAGACCAGAGAGAGGGACCAGAGAGAGGGACCAGAGAGAGGGACCAGAGAGAGGGACCAGAGAGAGGGACCAGAGAGAGGGACCAGAGAGAGGGACCAGAGAGAGGGACCAGAGAGAGGGACCAGAGAGAGGGACCAGAGAGAGGGACCAGAGAGAGGGACCAGAGAGAGGGACCAGAGAGAGGGACCAGAGAGAGGGACCAGAGAGAGAGAGAGACCAGAGAGATGCATCTATAACGGTTTGCTTCTGCCGTTCCAGGTTCATGAACACTCGGGCCTCCGCAAACTGCCGCTACCAGCCCACCTGCTACGAGCACGCGGCCAACTGCTACACCCACGCGGTCAGCCACACATTCATTCACATTATTCTACATTTACATTAAAACTATACCAGAGACAAGTGCGAGAGTCTGTGTGAACAAGACAGGTACGGACATAAAAAAGGTAAAAAGTAGAGTAAAGAGAGAGGAGAGAGACCAGAGAGAGAGGATTCATGGTTTTACACTGGTAGTGGTACAGATTACATTTCATGCTAAGGTCTGGATTTGCTCCATTGAGCTCCGTGAACAGGTGGGAGGGGCTAACTCCTAACTAACTAGGCTCCGTATAATAATAGTAATGATAATGATAATGACAATAATAATAATTTCTGCTGTTAGAGCTTATGTTGTGTATGAACTGTGCTATATGAATAAATGTGCAGCTGCTGATTGTCCCGGCCTTCGGGGGCATGGCTCTGCTGCACCGTCTGTCGGACACGTCCTGGGAGAGGGTCACGGCCGTGGTCTACGGTCTGGGTCTCTGCGCTCTCTTCTTGGTCTCTACCGTCTTTCACATCATCACCTGGAAGAAGAGCCACATGAGGTCAGACTCCGACTCTGCTCTGCTCTAAAACCTCTGTCATTATCCACGTTCTGTCTCTGTTAGAGACTTAATACTGTGTAGAACTGTTTATGTGTAGAAGTGTTGAGACGTACGTGTGCTTTGTGTGTGTGTGTGTGTGTGTGTTGTGTGCTGTGTGTGTTGTTTGTGTGCAGGTCTGTAGAGCACTGCTTCCACATGTGCGACAGAGTGGTCATCTACTTCTTCATCGCTGCCTCCTACTCGCCCTGGTCAGACACACACACACACCACAGAGAGAGACCCCCAGAGAGAGAGACCCCCAGAGAGAGAGACCCCCAGAGAGAGAGACCCCCAGAGAGAGAGAGCCCCCAGAGAGAGAGACCCCCAGAGAGAGAGACCCCCAGAGAGAGAGACCCCCAGAGAGAGAGACCCCCAGAGAGAGAGACCCCCAGAGAGAGAGACCCCCAGAGAGAGAGACCCCCAGAGAGAGAGACCCCCAGAGAGTGAGACCCCCAGAGAGTGAGACCCCCAGAGAGAGAGACCCCCAGAGAGAGAGACCCCCAGAGAGAGAGACCCCCAGAGAGAGAGACCCCCAGAGAGAGAGACCCCCAGAGAGTGAGACCCCCAGAGAGTGAGACACCAGAGAGAGAGAGACGAGGAACCTCTGATCTTCTTTTAGAAAAATCTCCCGTTGACAAATGCAGTGTGTGTCTCAGGCTGAACCTGCGGGAGCTGGGGCCCCTGGCGGCTCACATGCGCTGGTTCGTTTGGCTCATGGCGGCGGCAGGAACCATCTACGTCTTCAACTACCATGAGAAGTACGTCACGTTAGACGGTTTAGAGGGTTCTGTTAAAGAGACAAAGGATTAAAGAAGTTCGTACTGCTTCATAGACGTCTCTTATCTGTGGTCTCTGGCGAAGTGAGCCAAGGTGAAGGCCCCTCGTCTCTGTTGATGGTCCCCGCACATGGTCCTGACTTCATCCCAGACTTACATCAACAGCAGAATGCGTTTCATGTCCTCATTGTGTTGTTTCGCTAGCTCTCTGCAGCAGATTCTCGGATGTGTCCAATCTCTAAAATCAACCTTTTTACCCTTTACTTCCCGTTCTATCATCATTTGGAGCATAACATTGACCAAACCTGTAGCTGCCCTGAGCAGGGGGAGAACAAGCAAAGAGGCTTTCTAGTGGAATTGGATGCAGCTGAATCCTTGGCTCACGAGCGCCCCCTTGAGGCCAGCCTCACTTGGGGATTGTTCAAGGAATAACCAGAGAAAACAGTTTTCTCCCTCTGTGAGCTGAGGCTCTTACGTCACCATCGCTCGCTTCACAGCGCTTTGTCAAATATGAGAAAAATATAACAAAAATGTTGAAGTTAAAAATTAAAAGGTGACATAAACGAACAGCACAGTGGATCTTGTTTCCAGTGTTGGTCTGTGTGTTTTCAGGTACAAACTGGTGGAGCTGGCGTTCTATCTCACCATGGGCTTCTTCCCTGCATCCGTCGTCGCCTCCATGGTAACCAACTTCTTACAAACATCTCACTTTGATCTTTCCGTTAGATTTACAAAACAAAGTGATTTTGTTTTATAACCAGTTTTAAAGAGTGTTAAATATAGAAGTTCAGCTTAAGGAGATTTGTACTTTTACATGTATGTGTTAAGTACTGCCAATGTCAGTTAACAGAGCGACAGAGAACAAAACTCCATCCATGAGCACTTCCCTTTTGGCTTAGCATTGTCCATCTGTATACACCAGCTCTACTCTACTGTACCCCTTACTGTACCTGGGGTAAAGTCCAAGCAGCTGGTGTCACATCTGGCTCTGGATTTAGATTAGCTGTGTGTGTGTGTGCCTGTGTGTGTGTGTGTGTGTGCCTGTGTGTGTGTGTGTTTGTGCCTGTGTGTGTGTGTGTGCCTGTGTGTGTGTGTGTGCCTGTGTGTGTGTGCCTGCATGTGTGTGTGTGTGTGCGCCTGTGCGTGTGTGCGCCTGTGCGTGTGTGTCTGTGTGTGTGTAATCAGCTGTTATCTGAGTCCTGATTTTGCTGACCTTTGGATGAACACAACAGCACAGACCAGTTCAAAGTCTGAGTCTCCTCTTTACAGTTTGTGGAGGTCAAACTTGGACCTTATTCTGAAAAATCTACTCATTATTTTAGATTTAAACATGTTACAACAGTTTCTCATCAGTCACAGACCTGCAGTTGTTTAGATCAATCAGAGAGAGAGAGCAACAAGGGAGAGACCATAGAGAGAGAGGGACCAGAGAGAGGGACCAGAGAGAGGGACCAGAGAGAGGGACCAGAGAGAGGGACCAGAGAGAGGGACCAGAGAGAGGGACCAGAGAGAGGGACCAGAGAGAGGGACCAGAGAGTCAGGGACCAGAGAGTCAGGGACCAGAGAGTCAGAGACCAGAGAGATGGACCAGAGAGATGGACCAGAGAGTCAGGGACCAGAGAGTCAGGGACCAGAGAGAGGGACCAGAGAGAGGGACCAGAGAGAGGGACCAGAGAGAGGGACCAGAGAGAGGGACCAGAGAGAGGGACCAGAGAGAGGGACCAGAGAGAGGGACCAGAGAGAGGGACCAGAGAGAGAAAGACCAGAGAGAGAAAGACCAGAGAGAGAAAGACCAGAGAGAGAAAGACCAGAGAGAGAAAGACCAGAGAGAGAAAGACCAGAGAGAGAAAGACCAGAGAGAGAAAGACCAGAGAGAGAAAGACCAGAGAGAGAAAGACCAGAGAGAGAAAGACCAGAGAGAGAAAGACCAGAGAGAGAAAGACCAGAGAGAGAAAGACCAGAGAGAGAAAGACCAGAGAGAGAAAGACCAGAGAGAGAAAGACCAGAGAGAGAAAGACCACAGAGAGAGGGACCACAGAGAGAAAGACCACAGAGAGAAAGACCACAGAGAGAGGGACCACAGAGAGAAAAGTGTTGACTGCTGCTGTAATGTTATATATTTGATTTATGAAGTTGTTTTGTTTGTAGTGTATTCAAAGTAATAGGATCAAAAACCCTAGCCCCTGACCCCTAACCTCTGACCCCTGACCTGTACCCCACTTGTACCCTCTCCTCCTCTCCCTCCGCAGAGCAACACAGAGGGGCTGCAGGAGCTGGCGTGTGGAGGTCTGATTTACGTTCTGGGTGTTTTCTTCTTTAAGAGCGACGGCATCATCCCGTTCGCTCACGCCATCTGGCACGTGTTTGTCGCGCTCGCCGCCGCCGTCCACTACTACGCCATCTGGAAGTATCTCTACAAGAGTCCAGACGCTCTGCTCGAAACGTGACCCCGACCACGGCGCTCCGAAGACCTCTGGGGCGAGGCTAACGGCTAATCTGTTAGCCTCTTAGCTAGTAGTACACGATGAAGTGCATATGACAGGTTACTTTCAGATACACACTGTTGGATTGAGCTCAGATATTATTGAAAATGTACTTCTTTGAGTTTTCTCCATGTTGCAACACTGACCTGGAGTTGTGTTTAGCTCCATCCACGCTAATATCAGGAACTTCAGGCTCCGCCCCTTCTGTCTCAATGCACCAGTCTCGGTCCTGTAACAGTATGACGTCATTGTACCACTATGACATCACACTCTTAAAGGTGTATAGGAGGATTTTCTACATCCGGGTGGATCATCAAGACTATTGGTCCTCCCAGGTGTCAATCATTCTGGTGATACGTGCTCGTCCAATAAGACCAGAGAGTTTTGTTCAAAAAATGGAAAGGGCGGTTCTTTCCTAAAATTTTCAAATGTGGACACAAAACCTGGAAATCCTCAGCATAGGGGGATACAGGGAGCTCTAACTTCAGACGCTGATCCCTCTGGTGGCAGCAGAGCGAGTTACAAACATCAAGCAATTTTTTTACCCTTCACACTTGTTCCAAATTCTATCCACATTCTAACACCGGAAACAACAAAGTCTCATTCTCTGTGCCAAAAATAACGTATTTCTTCTTTAAACTGTGCCAAATCCTGAATTCTCAAACTCGCTCTCTGCTTCATTATCTATTTTTAAAACCAGTGAGTTTCATGTAAAATGAGATAATGATGAAACCTGTGGTATGCACTTTAAATGCCCATAAACGATTGTCTCTGCACATTTTAAAGGGCACATACCATGCTCTACGACTGGTCTTCTCTGTGGTTTTTAGCCCATAAATCATTAATATTCCGGCTCCTTTCTGTCCCATCACTTGGACGTGTGCTGTAGTTCCCGCTGCGGCCTGCAGATGGCGATCACACACAGGGATCAGAAAAACACATGGACAGATGTAGAGAATGCAATGTGTCCTTTAAAAGATAACAAATTAAACCAAGAGAACGGGCTGAAGGTGTTTTTTCATGAACCGCATCATTTCCCCCAAAAATGTGAGGATTTTTTTGGGTCCAAAGTTCCGGGAAAACAAAAATAATGGCTCAAACTAGATCAAACTAGTTTTAAAAATACACTGGAGGAAGTGGAAAAATGTGAGGATTTAATGTGGCAGTAATGTGGCTTTATAAAGGGCAGTAATGTGGCTTTATAAAGGGCAGTAATGTGGCTTTATACAGGGCAGTAATGTGGCTTTAAAGGGCATCAGTCGAAAAGTAAAAACACAAACTGCCGACATGGATTTGTTTCCGTGTTGTTGACATTTTGTTTCTCTCGTACATTCCACTGTAAATACTTGAAATCGTTGCCAAATGTTGAAACAGGTGAAAATGCGGTTTCCCTTTATACGAACTGCACCGAGTTCAGCTTTAAGGAAGAACGAAGAGAACGGTTTAAAAAGAGAGAGACCAGAGAGAGACCAGAGAGAGACCAGAGAGAGACCAGAGAGAGACCAGAGAGAGACCAGAGAGAGAGACCAGAGAGAGAGACCAGAGAGAGAGACCAGAGAGAGAGAGACCAGAGAGAGAGACCAGAGAGAGAGACCAGAGAGAGAGACCAGACCAGAGAGAGAGACCAGAGAGAGAGACCAGAGAGAGAGACCAGAGAGAGAGACCAGAGAGAGAGACCAGAGAGAGAGACCAGAGAGAGAGACCAGAGAGAGAGGCCAGAGAGAGTATTGTGGGTCTGTCTGTCTTCGTGACTTTGTAAAGCTGTAAAAGTAAAACTATTCTTTTGTGTTTCCATAATTGCTGCTAATGTTTGTAATTTTTTGACTCGGTGAAAACTCGTTTAGGTTCCTTCAGGCCTCTTCAGATCTTGTGTGTCCATCTTTTGTTACTATACAACATTCAGTATCTGACACACAACTTAAAGCACTTATAACAGGCCCTGTATTTTTCTATTTCTTTACAAATAAATTAGGACTGAAATGTCTAATTCTGTTAAAACTGAGCATTTGAGATTCTTTTAGACCAAACTTAGACCTTTCTGGGCTGTGATCGCTGCTTAAACTAATCCAAACACAGATCTGAAGAGCCTGAAGTAGTGCGTACACAGTGCTGCAGTGCCCTCTGCTGGTGCGGCCAGAGAGCGCCCTCTGCTGGTGCGGCCAGAGAGCGCCCTCTGCTGGTGCGGCCAGAGAGCGCCCTCTGCTGGTGGTGGTTGGTTTTGAATATTTCTGTGACTGGTTTTTAAATGTCTTTCACTGTGAGCGATTCTGCATGACTGTTGTACTTTGTATCAGGGCTCGGCATCAACTGCAGAGAGAGACACCACAGAGAGACCACAGAGAGACCACAGAGAGACCACAGAGAGACCACAGAGAGCCCACAGAGAGACCACAGAGAGACCACAGAGAGACCACAGAGAGACCACAGAGAGACCACAGAGAGACCACAGAGAGACCACAGAGAGACCAAGAGAGACCAGAGAGAGACCACAGAGAGACCACAGAGAGACCACAGAGAGACCACAGAGAGACCACAGAGAGACCACAGAGAGACCACAGAGAGACCACAGAGAGACCACAGAGAGACCACAGAGAGACCAGAGAGAGACCAGAGAGAGACCAGAGAGAGACCAGAGAGAGACCAGAGAGAGACCAGAGAGAGACCAGAGAGACCACAGAGAGACCACAGAGAGACCACAGAGAGACCACAGAGAGAGACCAGAAATAAAATAGAGTTCCAAGACTGAGGCTGTAGCTCCGTTAGCTACAGCTCTCTAACTCAAAGACCAGAAGAAGAAACTGTAGACAATCTTCCGTCTGATTAAAGTGAATGCCGAGCCCCGGGTTTCTCTGCTCCTCTGTGTACAGTCTGACAGTGTCTTGAAGCCTTTTTCAAAATGGCGGCTCCTCTTTCTGAACCCTGGAACCACTGTGTTTTTGTAAACGTTTGTATCTTGGATTCTCTGTTTCTGGTGCTGCCGTGAATTCCATGATTGCTCTGTGACTTTCTAATGTGACAATAAAACGGTAATATTCACAATAATGTTTTTGTTTTATCTTACACAACTCACTGTTTCCTAGTTTTAAATAATTGTTGAATATTTGTGTTTTTATCTAGATAAGTCTATCACCTTTTCAGTTGGAGAGCTATTTTTATTAAACAGAAATGGCAGAGAGCTCGCAGTCTCTTACATATCCCAGTCTAATATACACATAATTCTTTATCAAACTTCAAGCTGGGAACCTTATTGGTAAATGAAAACCAAATCTATCATCCATTTTCTTCTGCTTTATCCGTTGCCGTGTCGTGGAGGCAGCAGTCTAAGCTGAGACCCAGACAAACACTCCTCCGGCTCATCTGGAGGAACCCTAAGGCAGTCTGTCCTGGGTCCTGGGTCTCGTCTCCTGGTCTCCTCTCGGTCCTGGGTCCTGGGTCTCGTCTCCTGGTCTCCTCTCGGTCCTGGGTCTCGTCTCCTGGTCTCCTCTCGGTCCTGGGTCTCGTCTCCTGGTCTCCTCTCGGTCCTGGGTCCTGGGTCTCGTCTCCTGGTCTCCTCTCGGTCCTGGGTCTCGTCTCCTCTCGGTCCTGGGTCCTGGGTCTCGTCTCCTGGTCTCCTCTCGGTCCTGGGTCTCGTCTCCTGGTCTCCTCTCTGTCCTGGGTCTCGTCTCCTGGTCTCCTCTCGGTCCTGGGTCTCGTCTCCTGGTCTCCTCTCGGTCCTGGGTCCTGGGTCCTGGGTCTCGTCTCCTGGTCTCCTCTCGGTCCTGGGTCTTGTCTCCTGGTCTCCTCTCGGTCCTGGGTCCTGGGTCTCGTCTCCTGGTCTCCTCTCGGTCCTGGGTCTCGTCTCCTGGTCTCCTCTCGGTCCTGGGTCCTGGGTCCTGGGTCTCGTCTCCTGGTCTCCTCTCGGTCCTGGGTCCTGGGTCCTGGGTCTCGTCTCCTGGTCTCCTCTCGGTCCTGGGTCCTGGGTCCTGGGTCTCGTCTCCTGGTCTCCTCTCGGTCCTGGGTCCTGGGTCCTGGGTCTCGTCTCCTGGTCTCCTCTCGGTCCTGGGTCCTGGGTCTCGTCTCCTGGTCTCCTCTCGGTCCTGGGTCTCGTCTCCTGGTCTCCTCTCGGTCCTGGGTCTCGTCTCCTGGTCTCCTCTCGGTCCTGGGTCCTGGGTCCTGGGTCTCGTCTCCTGGTCTCCTCTCGGTCCTGGGTCTCGTCTCCTGGTCTCCTCTCGGTCCTGGGTCCTGGGTCCTGGGTCTCGTCTCCTGGTCTCCTCTCGGTCCTGGGTCCTGGGTCTCGTCTCCTGGTCTCCTCTCGGTCCTGGGTCCTGGGTCTCGTCTCCTGGTCTCCTCTCGGTCCTGGGTCCTTGGTCCTGGGTCTCGTCTCCTGGTCTCCTCTCGGTCCTGGGTCCTGGGTCCTGGGTCTCGTCTCCTGGTCTCCTCTCGGTCCTGGGTCCTGGGTCTCGTCTCCTGGTCTCCTCTCGGTCCTGGGTCCTGGGTCTCATCTCCTGGTCTCCTCTCGGTCCTGGGTCTCGTCTCCTGGTCTCCTCTCGGTCCTGGGTTTCGTCTCCTGGTCTCCTCTCGGTCCTGGGTCTCGTCTCCTGGTCTCCTCTCGGTCCTGGGTCCTGGGTCCTGGGTCTCGTCTCCTGGTCTCCTCTCGGTCCTGGGTCTCGTCTCCTGGTCTCCTCTCGGTCCTGGGTCCTGGGTCCTGGGTCTCGTCTCCTGGTCTCCTCTCGGTCCTGGGTCCTGGGTCTCGTCTCCTGGTCTCCTCTCGGTCCTGGGTCCTGGGTCTCGTCTCCTGGTCTCCTCTCGGTCCTGGGTCCTTGGTCCTGGGTCTCGTCTCCTGGTCTCCTCTCGGTCCTGGGTCCTGGGTCTCGTCTCCTGGTCTCCTCTCGGTCCTGGGTCCTTGGTCCTGGGTCTCGTCTCCTGGTCTCCTCTCGGTCCTGGGTCCTTGGTCCCTGGTCTCGTCTCCTGGTCTCCTCTCGGTCCTGGGTCTCGTCTCCTGGTCTCCTCTCGGTCCTGGGTCCTGGGTCTCGTCTCCTGGTCTCCTCTCGGTCCTGGGTCTCGTCTCCTGGTCTCCTCTCGGTCCTGGGTCCTGGGTCTCGTCTCCTGGTCTCCTCTCGGTGGGACACGTCCGGAACACCTCCCCAGAGAGTCGTCCTCAACTTGCTCCTCTCAACGTGGGGGAGCAGCGTCTCTACTCCGAGCTCCTCTCATGTGAGCCTCTCTATCTCAAGTAGAGATATAAAATCCTCCCGTACGCACAAACACGAGAAATAAGCAGAAGTCAAACTCGTCAGAAAAGATGTTGGATTTTATTGTATAGACTTTATAGACACTACACATGACAGAGAGAGAGAGAGGGCGGATCAGCACAAAGCGTGGCCTGCGTCCTCACCGTTCACAACAGTCCTGGTGTTGCCATGAGTACAATGGTTACGAGTCTGGAGCAATGTCCAAAAATAAGGAATGACAGATTCAAAAACGTGTGCGTTCAAGAGACACACTGCAAAAACCAACGTCCGGCGCGGTTTCCTTAGTAAGCTAGCACGTCCTTAGCCTCAACTCTTTCTCTAAGGTTATAGTTTTGCAATGAATTTATACTATTATTGATATTTTTTGACCAGTTCTGCCCAAACTTCTACACACACCTTTAATACCAGGAGTTAGAATTGTAGCTTTAGAAATTGGTTCTTAATCTCAAAGAAACTTTCCAGGTTAAATTAGGGTTAAATAAAAATCCAATTTGATAACATCTTCAGATTAAGTCGCTAAAACGAAAATAAATCTATCCAAATACGTACTTAAATGAGTTTTATCTTGTTCTTCTGACCCTGCTCCAATTTCAACAATAAAAGTCTCTGAAACCGGAGAGAGATTGAACCTTTTCTGTCATATTTTATCTCTAGACTTTTGCACATTTGTGTTTTTGCAGTGGTTTCTTGTTTCTTACACGAGTACAAAGCCCTGTGTGGTTATTGTGTGGTTATTGTGTGGTTATTGTGTGGTTATTGTGTGGTTATTGTGTGGTTATTGTGTGGTTATTGTGTGGTTAATGTGTGGTTAATGTGTGGTTAATGTGTGGTTATTGTGTGGTTATTGTGTGGTTAATGTGTGGTTAATGTGTGGTTAATGTGTGGTTAATGTGTGGTTAATGTGTGGTTATTGTGTGGTTAATGTGTGGTTATTGTGTGGTTAATGTGTGGTTAATGTGTGGTTAATGTGTGGTTAATGTGTGGTTAATGTGTGGTTATTGTGTGGTTAATGTGTGGTTATTGTGTGGTTATTGTGTGGTTAATGTGTGGTTATTGTGTGGTTATTGTGTGGTTATTGTGTGGTTATTGTGTGGTTAATGTGTGGTTATTGTGTGGTTATTGTGTGGTTATTGTGTGGTTATTGTGTGGTTAATGTGTGGTTAATGTGTGGTTAATGTGTGGTTATTGTGTGGTTAATGTGTGGTTATTGTGTGGTTATTGTGTGGTTATTGTGTGGTTAATGTGTGGTTATTGTGTGGTTAATGTGTGGTTAATGTGTGGTTATTGTGTGGTTAATGTGTGGTTATTGTGTGGTTATTGTGTGGTTAATGTGTGGTTATTGTGTGGTTAATGTGTGGTTAATGTGTGGTTATTGTGTGGTTATTGTGTGGTTAATGTGTGGTTAATGTGTGGTTATTGTGTGGTTATTGTGTGGTTAATGTGTGGTTAATGTGTGGTTATTGTGTGGTTATTGTGTGGTTAATGTGTGGTTATTGTGTGGTTAATGTGTGGTTATTGTGTGGTTAATGTGTGGTTATTGTGTGGTTATTGTGTGGTTATTGTGTGGTTAATGTGTGGTTATTGTGTGGTTATTGTGTGGTTATTGTGTGGTTATTGTGTGGTTATTGTGTGGTTATTGTGTGGTTATTGTGTGGTTATTGTGTGGTTATTGTGTGGTTAATGTGTGGTTAATGTGTGGTTAATGTGTGGTTAATGTGTGGTTATTGTGTGGTTATTGTGTGGTTAATGTGTGGTTATTGTGTGGTTAATGTGTGGTTAATGTGTGGTTATTGTGTGGTTAATGTGTGGTTATTGTGTGGTTATTGTGTGGTTAATGTGTGGTTATTGTGTGGTTAATGTGTGGTTAATGTGTGGTTATTGTGTGGTTAATGTGTGGTTATTGTGTGGTTATTGTGTGGTTATTGTGTGGTTAATGTGTGGTTATTGTGTGGTTAATGTGTGGTTAATGTGTGGTTATTGTGTGGTTAATGTGTGGTTATTGTGTGGTTATTGTGTGGTTAATGTGTGGTTATTGTGTGGTTAATGTGTGGTTAATGTGTGGTTATTGTGTGGTTATTGTGTGGTTAATGTGTGGTTAATGTGTGGTTATTGTGTGGTTATTGTGTGGTTAATGTGTGGTTAATGTGTGGTTATTGTGTGGTTATTGTGTGGTTAATGTGTGGTTATTGTGTGGTTAATGTGTGGTTATTGTGTGGTTAATGTGTGGTTATTGTGTGGTTATTGTGTGTGGTTATTGTGTGGTTATTGTGTGGTTAATGTGTGGTTAATGTGTGGTTATTGTGTGGTTATTGTGTGGTTATTGTGTGGTTATTGTGTGGTTATTGTGTGGTTATTGTGTGGTTAATGTGTGGTTAATGTGTGGTTAATGTGTGGTTAATGTGTGGTTATTGTGTGGTTATTGTGTGGTTAATGTATGGTTATTGTGTGGTTATTGTGTGGTTATTGTGTGGTTAATGTGTGGTTATTGTGTGGTTATTGTGTGGTTATTGTGTGGTTAATGTGTGGTTATTGTGTGGTTATTGTGTGGTTATTGTGTGGTTAATGTGTGGTTATTGTGTGGTTATTGTGTGGTTATTGTGTGGTTAATGTGTGTGTGTGGGTAACATTGTGGAGACCGAGGAACAGTCAGTGAACCCAAGGCACTGAATCTATCGATCGTCATGGTAACGGTGAGGTAGACATTACTGGTGAGGGGTGATTTTTGGATGGTTTCGTCATTGGCTTTTTCCTATGTTCATAATAATCATAAATGTATATATTTCTATTCAAAAACAGACACTTTTCTATCTCCAGACGTTTTACTTTTCACACGATCGTCGCGCAGAGACAAACAAATTGCAAAAAAAGTACGAAAAACACAAACTTTGGATCAGAAAGATTCGAACCCGGGTTAAACCGGTTTGAGACCAGCGTACGGAAGCCTCTGTGGATCAGAAACGCCATTTTTAATTTCGCCCCAATTCTTTAACACAGCAGTCTATTTGACGGTTTTTAGTTCCGGAAGTGTAGATGGATCTTTTTATCTTGTTTTGCCGTTTATTTATATGTCATATTATTGTTGTTATGAATTAATCTTTTAGTTTTGAAACCGTGTCGCCAAGTGGGGCAGAGCTAGAGCTAGTAACCATAGCAACCATCTGATAACTAGTTAGCATTAGCGTTACCAGTTAGCATTAGCCTTTCAACAACTGTATTGTTCTGTATTTTAAGTTACATTCACCAGTTTTTTGTACATATTAAAAGTGAGTGAAGGTAAATTTAAATAAAAATGGCGGTAAACCGGCTAGCTTTTCAGAATGAACACAATTTAAATGGAAACAGTCAAAATAATGACGGCTCTGGGTGTTAAAGATTCTCATGACCAAGGTTTTTTATCCATTTTAACTTCCATACATTGGTCCGTCATAATATCGAGCTGGCTTTATCAGGGTTCAAATTGTTAGCTAATGCGCTACAACGATAAGACGACGCGGACCTGACACCGGAACCATTTTGAAGTCGACAAATTAAATAAAAACGGGCTTCTCGGGGTCCATCACTCAGGTTTAGGGAACAGCTTCGAGCCGCGCACGCACAGACAATCCCTGGCCTTCATAGTAACGTCAGCCCAGTAATAAAAATATACGCTAGCAAGCCGCGCTAAAGCCGTGTACAGAAGCTTTGCTAGGAAGGTGTCTTTGTACGGAAACCTCAAACCGCTACTTTGTGATCAGAAATATCAACAGTCAATTACTTATTTGTTTATACTTCCTTCTTTATTATGCTAAAGTTAGAGATTGCATACTCCGTTAGCATTAGCGGCTAGTCCTCAACCGAACCCTTACTTCCATAAATTATTTTTATTTGTCATTATTTACCTGATTTAAATTACAATATTAGGTACAGACCTGTTATAGACCATAATAGCATGTATTAGCTTTAAAGGCTAATATTTCTGAGCTAGCTTTAGCTTTAGACACATCCTGCTAACTCTATAGCAGTTAGCATAGCAAACAAATTTGCCATTGACAACTTTAGCCTCTCGTCGGTTTAGGGCTTCCGTACGGTACATTCTTACCCTCTTCCTTTTACCCTTTAATCAGATTAAAGTTTACGCAGGTGTGCGCGAGGGCGGTCGTATGAGTAAATGTGTAATGCCCCAGAAAGTTCATTTTAGTGTAAAACTAGAAGCTAAGAAGAAAATAGACAGAATATTAAAATAGCACTATATATATGCACCACTATATTTATTTTGTCATATATTTTTGGATCTGTTGTGCCTTTAAATACATAAATGTGTAGGAAAAATACTGTACAGAAAGACGATTTATACAAACATACTTTTGTAACCAATATAATTTTCTATTATGTGAATTTTGGTCGAGCCGTGAGGAGTTTAACCACAGTATCGGACAACACCATCCAACTTGAAAACATTTTTGTCACATCTTTTACATTCATACAGCCATCTGAGAGAGACAAGGCGACAAAACGCTAAAACAAAGAGACTTACACTTTCTACAAAATAAAACATTGTAAGCTAATTAGAGTAATCATAATCATGCTAACTGAGCAAAACAAAAAACATTATCAACATATTTTCTCCAAAGAATAGCTTTATAAACGATTTAAAGGGACGGTTTGGAGGTATTGACTGGGTTCTGTTGACTAGCTAAACCTCAGAGAGCTAAAACTTGTGTTAGCTTGATTAGCTCGCTGTGAATACAAAAATTAGAGGCTATATGACGACGCTAGCTAGCAGTTGTGGCAGTCGCGCACTTTGCTAGCGTGCCATTTTTAGATACAAGACATTTTTATCATTTTTTTGTTATTTTCTTCACAGATTGTTTATTTATAAAAACAGCTGAGACCCAGTCAAACCCTCACGCGCCGTGCCTTTAAATCTGAAACCAGGAAGAGGCTAAACATGGACAGTAGTTTACTAACAATTATATCAACAGAATATATTTATATATATTTATAAAAAACAATCTTCCATCTGAGAAATAATAGGTCGATAAATACGATGCAGAGGAACTTTTCTTTTTGAGCGAGAGAACGTCGCACCGGATCAGATTGTGACACGCGTTAGTGCAGAGAGACGAGACGAAAGACGAGAGGAGAGACGAGAACTGGGGTCTGAACCAGAGAATCGGGTCTGAGAGAGAGAAGCAGGTCTGAGAGAGAGAAGCAGGTCTGAGAGAGAGAAGCAGGTCTGAGAGAGAGAAGCAGGTCTGAGAGAGAGAGCCAGGACTGAGAGAGAGAGAGAGCCAGGACTGAGAGAGAGAGAGCCAGGACTGAGAGAGAGAGAGCCAGGACTGAGAGAGAGAGAGCCAGGACTGAGAGAGAGAGAGCCAGAGAGAGAGAGAGAGAGCCAGGACTGAGAGAGAGAGAGCCAGGACTGAGAGAGAGAGAGCCAGGACTGAGAGAGAGAGAGCCAGGACTGAGAGAGAGAGAGCCAGGACTGAGAGAGAGAGAGCCAGGACTGAGAGAGAGAGAGCCAGGACTGAGAGAGAGAGAGAGCCAGGACTGAGAGAGAGAGAGAGCCAGAAGACAGACTGAGAGAGAGAGAGCCAGGACTGAGAGAGAGAGCCAGCCAGGACTGAGAGAGAGAGAGCCAGGACTGAGAGAGAGAGAGAGCCAGGACTGAGAGAGAGAGAGCCAGGACTGAGAGAGAGAGAGCCAGGACTGAGAGAGAGAGAGCCAGGACTGAGAGAGAGAGAGAGCCAGGACTGAGAGAGAGAGAGAGCCAGGACTGAGAGAGAGAGAGCCAGGACTGAGAGAGAGAGAGAGCCAGGACTGAGAGAGAGAGAGAGCCAGGACTGAGAGAGAGAGAGAGCCAGGACTGAGAGAGAGAGAGAGCCAGGACTGAGAGAGAGAGAGAGCCAGGACTGAGAGAGAGAGAGAGCCAGGACTGAGAGAGAGAGAGCCAGGAGAGAGAGCCAGAGAGAGAGAGAGAGCCAGGACTGAGAGAGAGAGAGCCAGAGAGCCCAGGACTGAGAGAGAGAGAGCCAGGACTGAGAGAGAGAGAGAGCCAGGACTGAGAGAGAGAGAGCCAGGACTGAGAGAGAGAGAGCCAGGACTGAGAGAGAGAGAGAGCCAGGACTGAGAGAGAGAGAGCCAGGACTGAGAGAGAGAGAGCCAGGACTGAGAGAGAGAGGCCAGGACTGAGAGAGAGAGCCAGGTCCTGTTCTCTCACACAGAGGAGAGAGTCCTGTTCTCTCACACAGAGGAGAGAGTCCTGTTCTCTCACACAGAGGAGAGAGTCCTGTTCTCTCACACAGAGGAGAGAGTCCTGTTCTCTCACACAGAGGAGAGAGTCCTGTTCTCTCACACAGAGGAGAGAGTCCTGTTCTCTCACACAGAGGAGAGAACAGGACTCTCAAAAACAGGATTATTGTCATTATTGCTCACTTCTGCGGCTTCGGCCCCAAACGCTGGTTTTCAGATTCCACACGACAAAATGAAGAGCTTTGTATAAATATTTTTGGGGTATTTAAAAAAACAGGGTTTGAAAAAGTGAATGAGCGACGAATCGTGAAAATTTAAGAAGAATTTGGCAAAAAAATCACACTTTAAAAAAATGAAAACTGGAACGAGTCGAAAAGATTTGAGTTTGAAAAAGAAAAGAGAAAAGCGTGATATCTGTGAGTGACAGCTGTCACTCACTTTTTCTTTGATACAAAAAAAACATTGACACAAACAGAGACGAGAGAAAGGTCCAAATGTCACAAAGAAATCAGCGCCAAATAAATTAGACTCAAACACGCCAGAATTTATGACGTTTAGTGTTTTATGGAAAGAGAGAGAGAGAGAGAGAGAGAGAGAGAGAGAGAGAGAGAGAGAGAGAGAGAGAGAGAGAGAGAGAGAGAGAGAGAGAGAGAGAGAGAGAGAGAGAGAGAGAGAGAGAGAAAGAGAGCGGGGGGAGGCTGGCTCATAGTGGGAAGTATGGATGTGTAAATATATAGAAACCATCGATGCATAATACTCAGAACGACGAGAGAACAAAACAAACGACAGGAGCATGAGAGCGGGTCGGCACACTGCGGCCCGGTACGGCCCGGTACGGCCCACATGAGTCCAAGCAGCGCCACGTCACGGAGGAGTCCAGACTTTTGAGAGAGTTTTCAGCGTTCGACCCGTTCTTTGTGAGTTCAAAGCTGCCAGCGGACGTTAAAACAAGCAGGTCACAAAAAGCGCCGGTCGTCACATGGTTTTAAACGTTAGGGTCCGGGCTCACACAATAAAAATAAAAATAAACAGTTCTATAAGTGCTAATGTGTGCGCCCTAAAGCTAACCCTAGCACTGCACTGCAAAAAACAATCAATTATGAGTCAGTAAGTGCTTGAATGCAGTGGTTTTGATCTTAAAACACAACATTATTAATCATTTTTAAACAAAATTATTTACTTTTTCCCGTCGGTAAATCTTGTTTTAGGCTCAGTCAGAATGTGCTCAGATTTTGCAAAATTTTGAGCCATTTTTTGACTTTCTGATCATTTTTTGCAGTGCATGTAGCAGTTATGTAGAAAAAGGACTGATAATAATAATAATGTAAGTGCTTAATAAATACCAGTTAGGAGCTAATTAACCATAAATTATACATTAATTAGCACTGGATTTGTTAGAACACTGCAAAAAATGAGAAAATATGACGTTATAAATGCTTGAATCAAGTGTTTTTTTCTTAGTTTAAGCAAATTTTGACCATTGATTTGCCGACAGGACAAAGCAAAAAGGTCTCGTTATGATTCTCAAATCATTAACGACAAAACAAGGAATAAAACCAGGATTTCTATCTTTGTGAAAAAGGTGTTGGTTATAGATTTGTTGTTGACAAAACTCTTGTCTATTCAGCTGTTATGGTCCCAGCTGGATTCGTCTGCATATCTGGCAACCTGAGTCAGGGAGAGTGGCAGAGGCTGCAGTACCACTTCTGGCCACATGTTTACAGACTGCTCCTTTAAGATAAAAAAGACTTGATTCAAGCGTTTGTGACTTTTTTGCGTCACTTTGTGCAGTGTGAGGTCTAAAGTACAGTGAGGACCGAGTACACAGCTCCTGTTCCAGAACTTTCCACCGCTGCCGTGCGCCTCCTCCGTGCGCCTCCTCCGTGGTTGAACTCATGTGGACGTGTTGCTGCAGTGTTTTTGAGGCAGTGCCACTGAATAATAACAGCACATTGTCCTTCAAACAGAGCGGGGGGGTCGAGGGGGGGGGCAGAGGGGGCGGGGCCTGCACAGGGGGCGGGGCCTTCACAGGGGGCCGTGTCGCGCCTCGTATTTGGCCACAACGTTTTTGCAGCGGCCGAGCTCTTTGCGCAGGTCGGCCACCTCCACGCGCAGCGCCGCGTTCTCCTTCTCCAGGAAGGAGGCGCGGATGGCGATCTGGTTCTCCTTCAGGCGCCGCGCGTCTCGGGAGCGCTTGGCCGCCACGTTGTTCTTTCTGCGGCGAGCCCAGTATCTGTCATCCTGAGGGGGGAGAGGGGGGAGAGGGGGGAGAGGGGGGAGAGGGGGAGAGTTTTAGTGGCGAAAAAAATGACAAACATGTTCAACACTAGGATCTGGTAAAGTATTTCTGTTTATCAAGAATTTCAACTGATCTGAGAGAGAATTTACTGATGTAGTCTGTGGAGGAGAGAGGAGGAGAGAGGAGGAGAGAGGAGGAGAGCACAGAGGTGGTCTGCTGCCCTATACTGGTCTCTAATGCCCTCTGTTGGTCACTGCTGGTCTCTGCTGCCCTCTGCTGGTCTCTGCTGCCCTCTACTGGTCTCTACTGGTCTCTACTGGTCTCTGCTGGTCTCTACTGGTCTCTACTGCCCTCTGCTGGTCTCTGCTGCCCTCTGCTGGTCTCTACTGCCCTCTGCTGGTCTCTGCTGCCCTCTACTGGTCTCTACTGGTCTCTACTGGTCTCTGCTGGTCTCTGCTGGTCTCTACTGCCCTCTGCTGGTCTCTGCTGCCCTCTGCTGGTCTCTGCTGCTGCCCTCTGCTGGTCTCTGCTGCCCTCTGCTGGTCTCACCTTGAGGTCCTCTGGGATGAAAACCTTGCGAGCCTTCTTGATCATGGGCTGAGGCTTGAGTTCCTCGGCCGAGAACTTGCGTTTGCGTGGGTCGAACATCTCCTGTCCCGGGACGCTGGACAGGGCCAGGTCTGCGGGGTCTGGCTCGTACGACAGTGGGACCTGGATGGACTCTGGGTCGATGGGGCTGGGGGTGTCCCGAGAGGAGGGGAGGGCTGGGGGAGAGAAGGGAGGGGTTAGACCTGTGTGTTTGTATCTGGTATGAAGAAATCTGGGTCTACAGCCTCAGTCCTGGGTCTACAGCCTCAGTCCTGGGTCTACAGCCTCAGTCCTGGATCTACAGCCTCAGTCCTGGGTCTACAGCCTCAGTCCTGGATCTACAGTCTCAGTCCTGGGTCTAAAGCCTCAGTCCTGGATCTACAGTCTTAGTCCTGGATCTACAGTCTCAGTCCTGGGTCTAAAGCCTCAGTCCTGAGTCTACAGCCTCTGAGACCACTGCTGCTGAATAGAATCCGTGAAGGCATAAACCAGAGAGAGAACAAAGTACAAAAACTGAATTTGAATCAAACCCCTGCAGTGTCTGGTTCAGAGCACACTTCTCACGTGCTTCTGTGTCAGTCTGAAACATGTGCCTCGCTCAGACCTCGTTCAGACCTCGTTCAGACCTCGCTCAGACCTCCCTCAGACCTCGTTCAGACCTCGCTCAGACCTCCCTCAGACCTCGTTCAGACCTCGCTCAGACCTCGTTCAGACCTCGCTCAGACCTCGCTCTGTTCACTCTGAGCTTTTGTCTCTTTACTAAAGCAGAGATTTTACTGCATCGTGTCAAAACACTTAAGTCTGAATAAACCCGTGAAGAGAACCAGCCTCACACTGAGGACTCTGAGGAGCACAGGGACTGGCCTCCTGCTGGGACTCTGAGGAGCACAGGGACTGGCCTCCTGTTTTTACTTCTCTGTCTGAGAAAGATGAACTAAAGATGTGACAGAGGCCAGAGAGAGAGACCAGAGAGAGAGACCAGAGAGAGAGACCAGAGAGAGAAACCAGAGAGAGAGACCAGAGAGAGAGACCAGAGAGAGAAACCAGAGAGAGAGACCAGAGAGAGAGACCAGAGAGAGAAACCAGAGAGAGAGCCCAGAGAGAGAGACCAGAGAGAGAGCCCAGAGAGAGAGACCAGAGAGAGAGCCCAGAGAGAGAGCCCAGAGAGAGAGACCAGAGAGAGAGCCCAGAGAGAGAGCCCAGAGAGAGAGCCCAGAGAGAGAGACCAGAGAGAGAGCCCAGAGAGAGAAACCAGAGAGACACCAGAGAGAGACCAGAGAGAGACCAGAGAGAGAAACCAGAGAGAGAGACCAGTGTGAGAGGCACCAGAGAGAGGCTGGTGTAAACTGTGACGGACCAAAAACACAAAAATAGAAGAAAACTGTTTTAGAGTGAGGAGGGACAAGGGTATTATTACATAGTTAATTTGTTTATGGGGTAAAATTCAGGTACCTCAGCTTTATTAAATCAAATTCTTAACATAATCTGAAATGTGATGACTCCTATTTGTTTCCATGTCTGTTTTAGAGTGAAGGTGGTGGCTGTTCTCTCTGTGTCCAGCAGGGGGCGCTGTGAGACCAGGGTGAAGGTGGCGTCAGCTGATCTCACGCAGCGCAGAGACAGTCTGCCTCTTTATGCTTCTCCAAAACTTACAAAGTCCTAACGCTAGGACTCAAGACTGGACCAGAGAGAAAGGGGGAGAGAGGGGGGAGAGGGGGGAGAGAGAGAAAGAGAGAGAGAGGGAGGGAGAGGAGGAAGGGGGAGTCAGATAGAGAAAGGGAGGGGGAGAGAGAGGGAGAGAGGGGGGACAGAGTGACAGACCTGGATCTACAGCCTCAGTCCTGGGTCTACAGCCTCAGTCCTGGTCTACAGCCTCAGTCCTGGGTCTACAGCCTCAGTCCTGGGTCTACAAAGTCTTGCGTGTGGACTGAGGGAGAGTTAGTGGCTCCAGGCAAAGATTGTTCCCTCAGAAACAAACAGGAAGTGTCTCTCTGCACAGACTGTGATTCCAAACAGGAGTAAACTCACTTCATCATCAGAAGAATCACTCGTCCCAACCTTTCTGCCTAAATGCTGCGTTTTCAAACTCATGTCAAATTATCAACCCAACCTCGGGGACATCACATCACTTTCTCTTTAGTCTCTATCTGGTCTCTCTCTCTGGTCTCTCTCTGGTCTCTCTCTGGTCTCTCTCTGGTCCCTCTCTGGTCTCTCTCTGGTCTCTCTCTCTAGTCTCTCTCTGGTCTCTCTCTGGTCCCTCTCTGGTCTCTCTCTGGTCTCTCTCTGGTCTCTCTCTAGTCTCTCTCTCTGGTCTCTCTCTCTGGTCTCTCTCTCTGGTCTCTCTCTGGTCTCTCTCTCTTGTCCCTCTCTAGTCTCTCTCTCTGGTCTCTCTCTCTTGTCTCTCTCTGGTCTCTCTCTCTTGTCTCTCTCTGGTCTCTCTCAGGTCTCTCTCTCTCTCTCTGGTCTCTCTCTGGTCTCTCTCTAGTCTCTCTCTGGTCTCTCTCTGGTCTCTCTCTCTTGTCCCTCTCTAGTCTCTCTCTGGTCTCTCTCTCTTGTCCCTCTCTGGTCTCTCTCTCTTGTCCCTCTCTAGTCTCTCTCTCTGGTCTCTCTCTCTGGTCTCTCTCTCTAGTCTCTCTCTGGTCTCTCTCTCTTGTCTCTCTCTGGTCTCTCTCAGGTCTCTCTCTCTCTCTCTGGTCTCTCTCTGGTCTCTCTCTAGTCTCTCTCTGGTCTCTCTCTGGTCTCTCTCTCTTGTCCCTCTCTAGTCTCTCTCTGGTCTCTCTCTCTAGTCTCTCTCTGGTCTCTCTCTCCCTCTCTGGTCTCTCTCTCTTGTCCCTCTCTAGTCTCTCTCTCTGGTCTCTCTCTCTTGTCTCTCTCTCTGGTCCCTCTCTGCTCTCTCTCTCTGGTCTTTCTCTCTGCTCTCTGTGACCTTAGATAACCAGAGAGCACCGTCCCATGGTCCTCTGGTGCTGGTCTGTCTGATCTCTGAGCTCTCTGGTGCCAAAGCTCCTTAAAGTCTAAACTCGGAAAAGTGTTAAATTTACACTTGACCTTTAACCCAACACACAAGAATATCTCTGTCCCCGTTGTCACGACAACCAGGATCCTCTCTCCTAAGGCTGTGTGTGTGTGTGTGCGTGCGTGCGTGTGTGTGTGTAGCACTTGGAATTTCCTCTTGGGCGATGTGTGCTATACAAATCTATTGGATTTGATATTGGCTCAATGCTACGATGTGTTTCAATTGACAAACCAAAGAGAGACCAGAGAGAGACCAGAGAGAGACCAGAGAGAGACCAGAGAGAGACCAGAGAGAGAGACCAGAGAGAGACCTGAGAGAGGCCAGAGAGAGAGAGAGAGAGAGAGAGAGACCAGAGAGAGAGAGAAACCAGAGAAAGAGAGAAACCAGAGAAAGAGAGAAACCAGAGAAAGAGAGAAACCAGAGAAAGAGAGAAACCAGAGAGAGGGAGTAAAGCTAAGAAACAGAAATAGTAGTGAATAAAAATCTTCAAAACTAAGGAAACCAAATAATCAACTTCAGATAAATTCTCTGAATCTTGAGTCTGTTTTTTTCAGGAGCGACAGAGACTTTGCCCTTCCACACCTCAGGCCAATCACGTTTACAGACATGAGCTGATTTCACCTTATCACATGTAGAGCAAAGAGCGAGAGAGAGAGAGAGAGAGAGAGACCAGAGAGAGAGAGAGACCAGAAAGAGACCAAAGAGAGACCAGAGAGAGAGACCAGAGAAAGAGAGAGATCAGAGAGAGACCAGGGAGAGAGAGAGACCGACCAGAGAAAGAGAGAGGGAGAGAGAGAGACCAGAGTCAGAGAGAGAACATAGAGGGCCAGGACAGGCAGGGATCAGAGAAAGTCCAGAGAGAGAGACCTTAAAAATCTGATGTAAAGTCATGACAGAGGCTGTGACACAGAGAGAGAGGACCTGCTGATTTAAACATATTCCTTTTGTTTGTGGTTTGAAAGTTAGGTTCCCGAGCTTTAATGATCTCTGTGTGTGTGTGTGTGTGGGTCTGTGTGTGTGTGTGTGTGTGTGTCACGTTGGTAACACTCTCACAGTGTGTTCTCTCTGAGGCTCACATTGATCAACGCTGCTGCTGCTACAGTCATGTGACCACAGTGTTGTTCTGCAGCCGACCAATCAGCTGCCTCCTTCCCACACACACAGAGAGAGAGAGAGACTAGGGAGAGACCAGGAAGAGACCAGAGAGAGACCAGAGAGAGACCAGAGAGAGACCAGAGAGAGACCAGAGAGAGACCAGAGAGAGACCAGAGAGAGACAGGAGAGAGACCAGAGAGAGACCAGAGAATCCAGAGGGAGACCAGAGAGAGACCAAATAGGGACCAGAGAGAGGCCAAAGAGGGACCAGAGAGAGACCAGAGAGAGACCAAATAGGGACCAGAGAGAGGCCAAAGAGGACCAGAGAGAGACCAGAGAGAGACCAGAGAGACCAGAGAGAGACCAGAGAGAGACCAGAGAGAGACCAGAGAGAGACCAGAGAGAATGCACTCGTTCAGACTAGTTCAGTTACGTGCTTCAGGCGAAACATCTTTTGATCTACAATAAGAAACCACATGTGCGATAGATATTAAAGCAACCAAAAGCACTTCTCCATCTGTCAATAAAACATTTAATCTATATTTTTAACGTTCATTTAAATGTAATATTTTAAGACGTTTTATCTTTCAGCAAAAAAAATCAAAGATCAGTCAAAACAACTCGTGTCTGACTCTGAGTTCACAACAGGAAAGACCTGCTCCACCACAACAAGAATGTGCTCTCTCTGGTCTCTCTCTGGTCTCTCTCTGGTCTCTCTCTGGTCTCTCTCTGGTCTCTCTCTGGTCTCTCTGGTCTCTCTCTGGTCTCTCTCTGGTCTCTCTCTGGTCTCTGTCTGGTCTCTCTCTGGTCTCTGTCTGGTCTCTCTCTGGTCTCTCTCTGGTCTCTCTCTGGTCTCTCTCTGGTCTCTGTCTGGTCTCTCTCTGGTCTCTCTCTCAGGTCTCTCTCTGGTCTCTGTCTGGTCTCTGTCTGGCCTCTCTCTGGTCTCTCTCAGGTCTCTCTCAGGTCTCTCTCTGGTCTCTCTCTGGCCTCTCTCTGGTCTCTGTCTGGTCTCTCTCTGGTCTCTCTCTCAGGTCTCTCTCTCAGGTCTCTCTCTCAGGTCTCTCTCTGGTCTCTCTCTGGTCTCTCTCTGGTCTCTCTCTCTGGTCTCTCTCTGGTCTCTCTCTGGTCTCTCTCAGGTCTCTCTCTGGTCTCTCTCAGGTCTCTCTCTGGTCTCCCCTGGTTGGGAGTGTTTGCTCTGGCCCTAGTGTGTAACCAGAACCAGGTCCTTCTTTAGTCCCTCTTGGTCCTGGTTCTTTCCATGCCGAGCTGGTGCTAAAGTGTTTTAACTGTAAGTAAGTAAGTAAGTTTTTATTTATATACCGCCTTTTCACTGCAGATTTGAGTCTCAAAGCGGTTTACAATTGTTAATTATGGGCATTTGTCTCTCACTCCACACAGAGATGGAAGCAGGGTCGCCAGTACAGGAGGCACATGCCAGAACTATTGGACATATTTTTAGTGGTAGGGGAAACCGGAGTACCCGGAGGAAACCTACGCAGACACGGGGAGAACATGCAAACTCCACTCAGAAAGGCCCTGGTCCGACCGGGATTCGAACCCAGGACCTTCTTGCTGAGAGGCGAGAGTGCTATCCACTCAGCCACCGTGACGGGGAGTCACGTAACTGACAGGGAGTCCTACTGGAAGCCGTGGTTATCAAGGAATTTCCCCGGTAACTACGACACCAGATACTAGACTTGCTCCAGTGAAATTAGTTTCTATGAATATTCTATGTTATTTCTATCATGTATTATTATTATTGTTATTCATATTTTTTTCAAGCACAATTCATACAACTCAAAGAGCTGAAGATAGGGTTAGAGAGACCAGAGAGAGACCAGAGAGAGACCAGAGAGACCAGAGAGAGACCAGAGAGAGACCAGAGAGAGACCAGAGAGAGACCAGAGAGAGACCAGAGAGAGACCAGAGAGAGACCAGAGAGAGACCAGAGAGAGACCAGGGAGAGACCAGGGAGAGAGACCAGAGAGACCAGAGAGAGAGACCAGAGAGAGACCAGAAAGAGACCAGAGAGAGACCTGAGAGAGAGACCAGAGAGAGACCAGGGAGAGACCAGGGAGAGACCAGAGAGAGAGACCAGAGAGACACCAGAGAGAGAGACCAGAGGGAGACCAGAGAGAGAGACCAGAGAGAGACCAGAGGGAGACCAGACAGGGAGACCAGAGAGAGAGACCAGAGAGAGACCAGAGAGAGAGACTGAACAGAGTGGTGTAAAAACAGGTCCCCAGCTTTAATCCCACAGTAGGAGTTTTTTATGAGTTTCTCTTTAAAGGGGCCTCCTCTGATTGGCCGTCTGTGTTGGTCTTTTACCTTTGCCTCTGCTCCTGCTGCTCCTGCTGCTCCTTCTGCTCCTGCTGCTGGTGCGTCACATGGCCACGTGCACGCGCCCCACGAGCATGCACGTGGGGAGAGTGCACGTGAGTCCAGGGTACAGCTGAGTCCACATGTGCAGCAGCAGCGGGAGACCAAGACCCGTGAGTCTGAGCCCGGAGCCGCTCTCTCATTAAAGAACTCCTACTGTGGGATTAAAGCTGGGAGACCTGTTTTTACACCACTCTGTTCAGTCTCTCTCTCTGGTCTCTCTCTGGTCTCTCTCTGGTCTGTCTCTGGTCTGTCTGGTTTCTCTCTGGTCTCTCTCTGGTCTCTCTCTGGTCTCTCTCTCTCTGGTCTGTCTCTGGTCTCTCTGGTTTCTCTCTGGTCTCTCTCTAGTCTCTCTCTGGTCTCTCTCTGGTCTCTCTCTGGTCTCTCTCTGGTCTCTCTCTGGTCTCTCTCTGGTCTCTCTCTGGTCTCTCTCTGGTCTCTCTCTGGTCAGGGTTAGTTATTTGATTATTCTTTGCAGGAGATGCTTTTGAAACAGAGATAATCAGTGACGTCAATAATAACTTCAAAGACACAAATGAGACTGCTTCATGGTCCAGAACCAGACCATGAACAGACCAGAGAGAGAGACCAGCTTTGACCCGCAGATCTGGCCCATAGTGAGAGAACTTAGCAAAAAGTAGAGTGTCCAATGTAAACAACCAGTATTAGTTTTGTGTGACATCACTTCAGAAAAGTCAGAATCTCGTCTCAGTTTAGAAATTATTTCTCTGTTCTCTCTCTGCGCTCTCTCTCTCTAGTCTCTCTGCTCTCTCTTGTCTCTCTCTGGTTCCTCTTTCTCTTCTCTCCCTCTCTCTTGTCTCTCACTCTTGTCATTCTCTCTCTTGTCTCTCTTTCTCGCTCTCTCATCTCTCACTCTTGTCACTCTCTCTCTAGTCTCACTCTCTCTTCCGTCCCTCTCTCTTGTCTCTCTCTGGTCTCTCTTTCTCGCTCTCTCTGATCTCTCACTCTTGTCAATCTCTCTCTGATCTCTCTCTCTCTCTCTCTGCTCTTTCTCTCAAAGCACCACAGTGGCGGTTCCCAATAGCGGGTGCGGGGCCCTTACCTGCTGATGTGTTGTGGAGACAGGCCTGGTGCGCGGAGGTGGT